TAGAAGAGAGGAACCTGTGGGTTGATCCATTGGCACAGGCTTGGGTAGTGTCTGACAGAACTGCTGCTCCATCGTTCTGTTACAGTTGTCCCTCTATTTTTGATGCACCTTCCTTTCTGTTTGTCTGGTCCACCTTGTCCTTCGTGAGGCTGCCCTTGAAACAAACTTAACTTACAATTCCTCTAGAATTGGCTGCTGCCTGTTCAGTAGGATCTCCGTGTGGTCTTGTGAATAATGGAATAATGTTGATCCAGTGATTCAGAGAATGACACGGATGAACCTCAGGAACCCATATGCTTTGAAACCCTGAGATGATCAGATAATTCAAGTTGTAAGGAACTTAAAGGAGTTTTCTAGTCCAAATTTCAATATGCAAAACCTCACCATTCTTTAAGTTTCATTTAGTATCAGAAATGAATCCAGGAAAAAAATACATTCACATGTACTAAAAATTCTTTTTTAGTTTTATTTTACAACTGGAATGTGCTATGGATTTAGCATGTCTCAGAGGGAATACTTTTTCTTGAGTCTTACTGAACAAATGAAATTCTACTCTGGCTCATTAACAGAGAAATCAAAATAAATGGCAATAATCCAGGTATCTGCTGTAGTCCTGTTTCAGTGTTGTTTATATTAACACAGTTAGTATGTAAAGTGTTTGGGTTTTAATTACAGCTTAAGAAAGTAAACGGTTTTAAAGAGCGGTGAGTGAAGTCATCTGGGTAAACATGCCAATCTGAAGTACAGCTCCCCAAATTAAAGTAAGAAGCGTTATGAGGAAGGATTCATTAAAGATTTTTCTTTTTTTTCCGTAAGCCTTCACACTCATTTTCTGTGCAAGTGAAGTATTCGGTATTTTACACTGATCGTTCTTATTGCATGCTCCAGAAGAACAGCAGCAAAGGAGCTGTACAGGGCTGATTTTCTCATACAGTCAAGGCCAACAAAGCTCAGAAAAGTAGAAGTCTCTCCTGTACACTGTGTTGGAGTCATAATTTAAATGGACATATGTGTTTTTAAAAAAGTTAATTTGATCCAAACTTCTAGTTCATTTGGCTCTGGTAAATTACTCATTGAGGAGAAAGAAACCAAAGCAGAACTGCAGTCTTTGCTCAGTTCACCTCCTCAGGTGGCAGTGCTACAGATAGATTGATGAAAGGAAGATTTTAATTTCTTTGGGTATGCTGACTACCTCTATTCCCTTAGATCACTGTGGAGCACATATGAAAAACTTGATTTGTACCAGGTCCACCTCTGTCAACCTGCATCCCTTGCACATTCCACTTCCACAGAAGCTGCTCTCAGAGTAGGACTGAAGTGTCTGGGACTTGGTTGAACTCAAGGTCTCTAAAGGGCACAGTGGTGTCAGAGCAGTTGCCCCAATTCAGTACTTGTTCTCACTGTAAATCTGATTCATAAAATATCTTTCAAATACTTGTAATTCTTGAAAGTGAATTATTATTTCATCTTTCAAGTGAGCAGACCTTTTATTACAGTTAACTAATTACGGAGTTATTAGAGTTATTCGAGCTCCACAGCCTTCTAGCCAGAGGATGTTAGGTGCTTGACTGAGCACCAGTGTTCTCATTGAGTGATGTTTAAATGGTTTGCCCACAATCACCCTAGTAACTCTTAGCTACGGAGATTCAGCCCAGTGGTCTATTCACTAAACCATGTAACTTTTCATTTTCTGCTCATTACTTTTGCCAGATTTTAGGTACTTGGCCTGGAATTTTCCGTTCTTAGTATTTGCCCAAAGCAGTGTCATGTCTTTCCAGGAACAAGATGAGGAAGCACGCATTGCTTTTCCTCTGTAGATATAAGTTAATAAGTTAATTGTTACAAACCCAGTGGGAAAGTCTTCTGCTCTGTTGAAATTCGGGAGAGAATCCTCCTTGAGTCGTGGATGTATTTTCATTCCTCTACCCCCCCACCTAGATATATTCAGGCTATAATTTTCCCTGCAACATGCCAGTTGTTATGCGTTTCAAACAACCATATGAAGAGTTTGGTCCCTAAATACTTTTCGGTTTTCTTCTGCTGTAGCTTTGCACTGTTTCAGAGCTGTAATAATTAAACAATTTTGTGAAATGCTGCTAAATGGACACTAGAGACAGTGTGAGGACTCTTTGTTGCTGATACTTCTCTTCCTTTTGGTGCCAAAGATGATTGCTATGCAGATTGGACAAAAATTTGACTTTGGCAAAGGATTACAGGAATAGAAACCAGGAGTAATGGGAAGGGAATCTGGGATGTGATTATGGGGAAATAGTGTTGAGAACTGAGATGGGAGGGAAAAAAAGGTTAGTTAAATGTGTACATGCAAAGAGACAAGACTTGAGAGTGAAGAAGCTGAGAATGAAAGGAGGATATAAAAGGGGAAATTTGGGTTTGATAGGCTGTGGAGGATTGGATATCTCAGCTTTTAAGGTGAGTCTAGGAGGGTAGAAATAAAACTGCAGCTGACATGTAAGTAGAGGGAACCAGTCTGTACAGTGAAGAAACTGGGATAAGCGGGAGAAGGTAGAATGAATGTGAAGGGAGAAGACCATACTCTGTTTAGAACAGGAGACAGAAAAGTTCTGATCACTAAAGGAGAGTCACCAAATGTCATTCAAAACAAAAACCTGAAAGAAAACTCATAATTCTAAGGCAATTTGACAACAGCAGGCTCAGTAGAGGTGGAGGGTTTAAGACGTTTTTTCCCATAATCACCACCTTCACACTCTTCAGTTATACTGGCAATAATTACTCCCCTTTCTTGTTTCCCTCTGGGGCTCATAATTGTCCTTCCCTCTGCTTATAGCCCACTCTGCTCTGCAGGTGCCAGCAATTCTTGTCTTTCAAACTGTCTTTTATTAATGTAGTTCGGTTGAATTCAGAACAGTTGTTCATAACCCATACCTTCTGTTACAAGGGCTGAAAAGAATTCATGTGCACTAAGTTGGTGTCTTTTTTTTTCCTTAACTGTAAAAATTGTTCTTATAAAGTTATTACTGAGCCTTAAAATGTTGCTTTGCAAGAAATCCTTGTTCCTCTGAGTGCATTCACTGTTGTTTTGCAGAGTGTTGACAACACAGTGAGATTTTTCATGTTTTCTGCTGTTTTGTGAGATTGAATGGGAGAGGTTGGGATGATGATTATTAGTGGTATTATTATTTCTCTTGGGAATATATTAAAAGATAGAACATGGATAAATGGAGCCTCAGGGGTGACTCATGTTTTTGTTTAGCTTGAACTAGGTCCAGCTTCTAAGAGGAACTTGATTTTAGGTGCATGTTTTTTCAGTGTTTTAAACTGAAGTTATAATTCCAGCGGTCTCAAGAGCATGTGTTTGTTTTTATTTAGAAACATGTTTAAGGAATGTTTTTGGTGGGTGAATACAAAATAAACAAGACTATCTCAATCTAGAGGTTGCAATTCTTTGGTATATTCAGTGTCAGCAAAAATCAAGTGGAAAGATGTTCTTAAGAGAATGAGTCGGTTAATTTTTCTGATTTACCTTGTAAAAAATTTTCTTTATGCTCAGTCGAGAGATGGGGAAGTATGATTTCTTAAGTGTAGTGTCTGCTTTCTCCTTTCCAAATGTTTCTGCATATTTGAAAGGTGCCTAAAGCTTGTTTGTTTCACTGTCAGCTTGTCTTTGGGTAACAGAAAGTACTTTTCTTTCAAACAACATATTTTTTCCATATTAATTGTCACTGAGTGTGTAATGGTAACATCTTCATGACATTGCTTCTATAATGTTGTTCAAAGTGTGATACTAATTCTTTTACCTTTATAAATTACCATTAAGCGTTGTTTATAACTCAGTTTTTATCTGGAAGAACCCAAAACAAAATGAAAAACCAAAGCCCAAACAATAAAACCTTTGTCTCATGTGCAATGTGCACCTCTTAACTTATGAACATTTTGAGATTTGTCTGCAAAGCAATTATGACATTCATTTATAAGTTGTTAGGGGAATGAAGCAAAGTCAGGGCTTCACTTTTTTTTGTTTATTTTAGGGAATTTGTTTTTGTATCTTACAAATGTTCATTAGGAAGGTATTCATAGTCCTTTATTCTTACAGTCGTAACTTGCCCTTTGAATATTACAGATAAGGATAGAATAAGAATCTAATAATTTCATGTATTTTTAAAATGTAGCTTAATGGATATTTCTAACAACTGTACTTTACTGAAAAGAAATTTCAGTGTTTGAAACTAGTTTACAAGTTGAATGATGAATGTCCCTCTGGTAACTAAGAGAGCATAGATGCTTTCATCCTAGTCAGGTGCCTACTAGGAGCATGCACTTCACCTGTATTGCAGTATACATAGGTAAAACATGAGACCGAAAAAAAAAGGTCAAATTTGCAAAATAAGGAGTATTTATTATGTTACCTGGTTTGAAGGTTATTACCATCTGTATCAGGACCTGAATGAGACAGCTACAGAGTTTGGCCAAGCAGAGCTGCAGTAGCATGTACAATGGCTTTTGTGGTTGTTTCAGCAGAAATATGACAGACCTACTTAGTCAACTGAGATGTACATGAGAGAAGAATGTTGAAGAAAGACAGTAAATTTAAAAACGTGTTAATTATCTCAGGGGTTGATTGGCCTTTGTTGTACTGTAAATCTAGAAGTTGTTTTCCAGCTCCGGTGCAAGTGTACATCTTCCACTTGAGAGCACTTAACCAAAATTCTTCAGATGATTTAAAAGTTTTATGTACAGAAGTTTAGAGCAAGTAAGATTCTCCTATCTACCTGTGAGAGATGAGAGGAATTTAATTACACAATTTCTATAAAAATTAACAAGCATTGTATGATTTGATTGATCTACAACCTCTGTCATAAAGTATCCCTGGTGCAAATTTCACCATATGATGAGTGACTGTGTTCTGTCTACTGACTTGTTGCTGGTTTTGCATGATAAGAGTGTTGTTACAGAGTTAATGTTTGGACTATATCTTATGTGATACATTTTTGTACTAATTCTGAAATTTGTTTTAATTGCAGGGATATTAAACCAGACAACATCTTGATGGATATGAATGGACATATTCGATTAGCAGATTTTGGTTCTTGTCTGAAACTGATGGAAGATGGAACGGTAAATTAGAAAGAATGATGCATTCCCAAATACCTTTTCTTCAGTCCTTTGTTAGCTGCTAAAATGCATTCTAATAAAGGGAAAGGTGCCTTATGTCAAATGAGATGGAACTGTAAATGGTATATAACTAATCTTGGTTGAAAATATAACTGCACGCTGCTTGGATTTGCAATATATTAAAAGCTTTTTAGATGCATGTAGTCAACTCATGAATAAATAAAGAGAAGCTGTGCTGTCAATACTGAGTAGGTGTTTATGAACTATAAATCTCACTGTTTTAAGCTCTGAGCTCTAATCTTTATTGAAAATGTAGGCTTTAGGATGAGCAGGATGAGGTACTGAAATATGATGATGTTCTACTAGTACATTTAAATTTGCACAGTATATAGTAACTGTGACTAGAATATAATTCCAGTATGATAATCATGTCCCAGAGGCTTGCAAAGTATTTGAGTTAATAGATGTGATTATCTAATCTATAATTGCTTACTGGCTCTAAGCCTAAGAATTGACAGATTTGCTCTTTCTCTTTTTTTAAATATTGGAAATAGTTTAGCAAATGTACATTATTGTGCTGCCTATTAACGTAGTGCCTCAGATGCTTAAGTATCTCTCTATGAATTTAGAAACCTTTGTTTGTGTTTAGTTGTTTTAGTTGTAACCGGACCACTAGGCTAAATTTATATATACAGGCACAGTGCCACAAACAATAATGTCTGTAACAATGGAAAAGTTGATTTTAGTCCTGAAAATGTAACTTCTACAGGTCCAATCTTCAGTGGCAGTTGGAACACCAGACTACATCTCTCCAGAAATCTTACAGGCCATGGAAGATGGAAAAGGGAAGTATGGGCCCGAGTGTGACTGGTGGTCCCTGGGCGTTTGCATGTATGAAATGCTTTATGGAGAAACGCCCTTTTATGCTGAGTCCTTGGTGGAGACCTATGGGAAAATAATGAACCACAAAGTTAGTGCACTTTCTGTCTGTCTCTTAAGCTAATTTTTAATAAGTAATGGGGTAACTTGAAGACTTTTTTTTTAAATAAATTTTTATGTACTAATTATGTTAATGTGCATAAATGTGGAACAAAAAATATGTTTCCATGTAGTAAGTTTACGGTTATGGATTGCAGATGGCTTTGGTTTGGGATAAAGCAGTTCAAAACTGAAAATCTGGATTTGGAAACATGGCTGTTAATTCATTCTGTGGAGTAAATCTTGGCTACCTTGCATCGGTCCTGTTGTGTTACTTTCTTCTGGTGAATGCATTGGTTGGCTTATGCAGAAGATTCTTAAACGTTCTTCCACATGGAGGTAGCTTTAGAATTCAACAGTGAAAGAGAAATTTAAATAAAGAAGAAAAACCAGGACACAAAAAAATATCAGTAGTTTCTATCCTTGAAAAGTCTTTTCCTTGAAACCTTACTGCATATGTTTCAGAACTGGAGCATTTGCACATTTCTTTTTGTACATAATGATTTTCACTAAGAAGGGTAATTTCCCAACTTTTTTCTTGGTAATAAACTATTTTCTATTATTTTGATCTTTAAGGAGAGGTTTCAGTTTCCTGCTCAAGTGACAGATGTCTCTGAAAGTGCAAAGGACCTCATCCGAAGGCTCATTTGTAGCAGAGAGCATCGACTTGGACAAAATGGGATAGAAGACTTTAAGAACCATCCATTTTTTGCTGGGATTGATTGGGACAACATTAGAAACTGTGAGGCACCTTACATCCCAGAAGTCAGCAGCCCTACTGACACATCAAACTTTGATGTGGATGATGATTGCTTAAAAAATTCTGTAAGTATGGAATTAACATTTTGACGAATCAGCTTTTATAGTATACTTTGTAACATAATTTATGTAAATGGCATTTTATTTCAATGTGTTCATTCACTGTGTTTTGCATAAATAACAATGAAGTGCTGCTTTGAAGAACTGTGGGGGGAATACTTTCATAATTTGGAGGCTGATACTCCAAACATACTCGTGTAAGGATAACTTCAGTTTTGTTAATTCATTGTAACTTTACACGTCCTTAATGAACAAGTTCTTAGTGCCCATGCCTTACACAGAATAATATATTTGCATGTCGATAGTCTGCAAAAACAGTATTTCTAGCAGAGCGTTGTTAAGACTTATACTAAGTTTGCATAGTGCGTTTTATTGCAGTGCTGTACTCTTATTTGCTCATATTGCCATTAGATTCCATTCAGTTTGTTTCCATTCAAATTTTTCCAGCTTTTTTTCTGACTTGAGTTTTGGGAAATTTAGGAGAAATATTGTGGCCATTTCTTAAGGAACAAGAAAGAAATTATTTTTACCTTTGCTGAAAAAACTTTGCAGCTATTGATTTTTAACAGTTCTTATTGTTTCTATGCTTTTGAAAAGGAGCTTTGACAGATTATAGTGGTCTTATCATCAGAGAAATGCCTTGGAAATATCTTTGTGTGTGTGTGTGTGTGTGTTGAAACATGCAGAAACGTGATGTTTACATGTGAGGTGAAGCATTTTCACTGTTTTTGCTTTTGTTTTCTGAAGTGCCAATGTTTCACTGAGTTTCCTGGGCCTGCAGATAAGAGATAGGCAACATGAATTGATATTGATAGGATGATCATTATTTGCATTCCCTTTCCTCCAACTGCACAGTAAAACATGGAAAACACTTTAACTAAAATATTTTCTGAATATCAACCTCTTCTTCTAAATAAGAAGCCACAGGACAAACCTCAAGGTGCACAAAGGAAGGTTTAGATTGGATATTGGGAAAAATTTCTTTGCCAAAAGGGTTGCCCAGGCAAGTGGTGGAGTCAGCTATCCCTGGAGGTATTTAAAAGAAATGTAGATGTGGTGCTTAGGAAAATGATGATGGAACTGGAAGTGCTACATTAATGATTGGACTCAATGATCTTGAAGGTCTTTTCCAACCTAACTGATTCTACAATCCGTGATATGTCCTAGAGCCCTTTCCTATGGGCAAATTAAGCAAAACAGTGTAGCTGCATAGCATAACTTGCATTTTTTTCTTTTTTTTTCCTCATTGTTTTCTCACCTGCATTTGATATTACCCGTTTCCCTTCACAACTGAAGTATTTTTATCTTAAAACTTTTTTATACAGTCTTCAGATATTTGTTTGCATATTATTTTGTCCAGGAACAGGTATGAGGATTGAGTGCCTGGAGTGGATACTGTATATAGCAAGTCTTTGTGAATATAAAATACTTTTTGGAGGTTGTCCACACATTTTAGTGTTGTCCAGTCCACCACTCTTCCTTTTTAGAGCCCAGTATCTCAACTGAGGCACTCAAAATGTGCCTGTGCAGGAGAAATGCCTTACCATTGTGAAGAAGCCGGGAACTGCAGGTGAAGAATGTTCCTCTGCTGAGTTACTGGACTCTGAGCTGAGAAAACTGAGTCCAATTCTTAATTTGCTTTAGACATTTGGGGGTGAAGAGCAATGCCACTGAACTGTTAGAGATGAATGCCAGTCTTTTTCAGTTTCCTAATTTGAAACATCTGAAGGTTTTGTTCTGTTTTAATATAAGGATGTTACGTTCTTACCATTTCTTTTCACACCTAGTATCTCAGAATCGCTGAAAAAACTTAGCCTAAGGCATTGCATGACTGAGAATATTTTACATTTTTGCTTAGACTGGGGGACATTGTATTTCATATTGCTTTCCCTCAAATTCCTTATATATAATTTGGAGGTATTTTCTTCTCCATATTTCATATATATCCTTTGAGGAAGTTTCACATACTTGCAGTACTGTTATAGAAGTCAACACCAGAGATAAGCCCATGAGACGATTTTTTTTTTTTATAAATTCTTGGCAAGATTTGAGTTGCATAGAGCCCAGTGCTGAAGATAAAAGACAGTGTTGAAAAGCCATGATTGTTATTGTTCTTCCTGAACTTTTAATGAGACTGTTGTCCCAAGGAAAAATTACATATTATATATTATTATCTATCTATCTATCTATCTATCTATCTATCTATCTAATATATTATATAATATATAATATATTATAATCTATATAATATATAATATTTTATATTTTTATATATATATATGTATTATATACATATATATATATAATAATGAAATTTGAAAAGTACAATAAAAGTACACATAAACACCAAGGGCTAAACTGCATTGTTCAGGCAGCCTAAGTTGTACTGGGTTTTAGCTTTTAACTGTTTGGTTTAGGAGCCTTACTGAGAGGGATGGTAGGCTTCAATTCGTTTATAATTTTGTCAGCATGGTTGTACAGTTAAATTTACACAAGTAGCAGGAGATACATACCTTGATCTCTATCAAAGAAACAAATCCTTTTACAGAATCTTACGTTGTTATCAATAGGTATGGTGTTTTAGAACCAACATAGTTCCTGGTGTGGTAACTGAAAACTGTCATGTGCGCTGTTAAAATCACACAACTATGTATTTGGTATTTTTAAAGTTGTCTGTAAAGATGGGTTTGAAACTTGAATCTATGAAAGGTGAAAACAAATTATAAAAGAGAAGTAAAATTTTACTTTTTCTAGTCATCGTCTATAATAATCGATATTTTTATTATGAATTAGTGGTAAGTTAATGCTTTGTAATTTGGTCTTGTCCTTAGTTTCCAAAATACTTAACAGTGTAGACTTAATGTACTTACACAATCTAGCCATATCATTAATGTTGTTTTTTCTTCTGGGAACTCTTATAATGTGAAGATTTTTGTCAGCTAAAAAAACAAAGTTGTGATGTAATATAGTTGATGCCACTGCTGGAAAGGTAATTTTGGATTTTGTCTGAATACAGTCTTATTCCTGGTCCTTTCTTGATGGGTTTTGCATTGAAAAATGTACAACTGGTTCCTTTCTTCTTTTTTGTTTGTGTTTAGAAAAAAATGGTTATGTACTTTTTTTGACAATTTAGAATCTTTTAGTACTTTCAGTGTGAATAATTGTAAGGAATTTCTTTTGATCCTTGTTAAGGCCATCTCTAGTGTAGCAGTTTAAACCTTGCATCTTGGGGTTAAATAGGAAGCTTTTAACAGAATATTTAAAAATACTAAAACTTATAATGGTTCAAGTAAAATAATGACAGGGTTATTTTAACCTGAGGAGAAATTCAAAGATTTGTCTTTGTTTGTCGTTCTGTGGCAGAAAAAAGTGGCAACAAATGAAGAAATGGTCAAAGCACTAATGGGACTAGAACACCCTGTTGTATTAAGTCTTTCTAGTAAATGCCTTACTGTTGTTCCCTTAAAATAGAGGTAGCCCACTCAGAACTGGCATTGGTAATTCTACAGGCAGGAAGCCCTGTTGACTGAATATCAGAGAGGAGTACAGGAGGGAATAAAAGGTGTTACTCTTTGTAATAAGAGCTTCTTGGAAAAAAGAAAGAATAAATTGGTATTTGATATATGTAATATTCTGCTTTCCTCCAACAATAACCTATTTAATTAGAAAAGCATTTTTATGCCAGCCTTGTCTATTTTATATGTTAAATGCTATTATAAATAGTTTTAGTTGGTGGTGTTTCATATTTGGACTGCAGATAAGGAAGACAGTGAATATAGTTAATATGATATTACCACTAGCACTTCATATATAGTTAAACTTGAAAATCTCTTTCTTTTAAGTCCAGTAGGATACTACTTACTCAACTGTCCTATTATTTTCCTAGGAAACAATGCCTCCACCATCGCACACTGCATTTTCTGGCCATCATTTACCATTTGTGGGTTTCACATATACAAGTAGCTGGTAAGTTAAGAGTTCTGATATTGCCTCTTGCTTAGTTACACAATATCTTAAGTTTCTGTATCTGAAACCAACTGCAAGGAGACAGCAAAGAATGTGGTTTATTGAGGAAATTACTAGGCCATCATCTACACTGCTGTCTGTCTAGAAGAATGAGCTCTCTGCAGGTAGAATTTACAGGAATGTAGAGGTCAGCACCTCTGTTCAAGGGAGTTTTGTTGCTAAAGGTGGTTACCAGACAATGTGTGAAGTTAACTGTATATGACAAACTTAAGACTCGATGTGTGGACCCAGATAGAGCTTAGTTTATTAGATGTGAAAAACAGGTTTATTTCCAGTCTTTTGACACTTCTGTAAGTCTGAATGGAAATTTTTAAAAAATTACTTTTATTGATATTTGGTATTAATGTGGTATTTATTATGTTCATTTCTATTGCTAAATGAACAGTAACAGGGAAGTCCATGTATGCTCCTTGTTCATTTATGGAAATAAATAAAGAAAGAGTGTTTACAACCATTGAAAAATCAGGCCTGTGTTTCTGCTGTGAATGTGACTATGTCCTAGAATGTCCTAGACTTCCTGTGAATTATTTGCATAAGTAGTAGCATGTGCACATGAGTAGCCACAGCATTTCTAACACGTCCATGCCCTAGTTGTCATGGGATAATTTCACACCATTTGTTGTGATTCTTGTCTTTAAAGAATTTGGGATACTTGATTTACTATTTTGAAATGAACCATTATTGTAATCTTACTGTTTAGGTTGTTGCTTCTTTCTGGCTAACATAGTCTGTCCATAATGATTATTTTTAATCAAGAGTTCATTCCCTGTTATGGAACAAACAATGCATTGAGGAGATCAGGCATGCTAGGTAAAAAACTTCTTATAGGGTATTCCTTGATGGTATAATAAAGGCCATAGTAATTAACAGTTTAAAAAAACTGTTTATTGATTGATAGTTTTATAGCATTATTTTAAACACAACCTGTTGTAAAATCCAACACTATTTGTTTTTTTCCCCTAGTGTGCTTTCAGACCGCAGCTGTCTGAGGCTGACAGCTGGACCACCCTCCATGGATCTTGATGCCAGCATTCAAAGAACTTTGGAGGATAGTTTAGCAACAGAAGCTTATGAGAGGAGAATAAGACGTCTAGAACAGGAAAAGCTTGAACTTAGTAGAAAACTGCAAGGTATAGTCATTAAAAAAAATAATTCAGTTTTTTTCTACTTGCAGCTTTATGTTGCAACATAAACAGCATGGCTGTTTATACTGTGGCAAAAAATAAGTATACTTCCTGGAATGCTTTCTAGCAGAAAAGAATTGTCATCATTATTTTTGTTGACAAATTAAACTTCTGTTACTCTTCATACCTGAAATATGCCATGTATGCAACTTCTTATGACATACTAACTTTGTTCTCATCGTGCCTTGGTTACTATGGCATAAAGATTTCATTCTTAAAACTTGTAAGAGCTTTGTTTGTCCAGCTGACAATTACTGAAAAATTGGCACTTAATAGTTGGAAGTTACAAATTGTGGAATCCTCAGTGCAGGGGTTTTTTGGCATGTCTTAATTTATCAGTAATATCTCTTTAACCTCCTCAGATGTCAGATGTGTAATTTGTCCCTCTCTCTTCCATCTTTTTTTTAGAGTCCACTCAGACAGTCCAGGCTCTGCAATATTCAACAGTGGATGGCCCAATAACAGCAAGTAAAGATTTAGAAATTAAAAGTTTGAAAGAAGAAATTGAAAAGTTGAAGAAGCAGGTAACAGGTATGTTATAAATATTAATGTAAAAACTGTAATGGGAAACAGTATTTTGACAAGATTTTTTTTTTCCTAATGTAATGCTAGTTTTACTTTGCTTTCTAAAAGAGTTTTCGAGTCTGTTCTTACTTTTCATTTTACCTGTCACTCTTCCTTGGTAGCTCAACATTTTCTGTAAATTCAACTTGATAGTCATTAGTTCCAGTTGCAAGGGAGTAGGAAGATTTCAGTGACTTCTGCTATTATTATTAGTGCAAAAGTTCCACTACTTTTAAATTGTGTTGCTGATTTACATGGATATAAATCAGAGTCTACCTGAGAATCTGTGAAATACTGACCAGTCTCTGTAATACTTTTTTGTTTGTTTTTTTCTACACCTTCTTCCTGCAATGTGTGGTACCAGGGCAGATGGTTATTTTGTTTGGTTATTTCTGACAGTGAGTAAACATGAAGGTGAAGACTTGGCCTATCAGTTTTAATAGGCCTAAAAACAGTTGATGAAATCATAGAATGGTTTGGGTTGGAAGTGGCCTTAAAGACCATCTCATTCCAGTGCCCCTGCCGTGGGCAGGGATAACTTCTGCTACACCAGCTTGTTCAAAGCCCCATCCAACCTGGCCTTGGACACTTCCAGGGCATCCACAGCTTCTGTGGGCAAGCAGTGCCTGTGCCACACCACCCTCATAGTGAAGAATTTCTTCCTAATATCTAGTTAAATCTACCCTCTTTCAATTTGAAGCCATTACACCTTGTCCTGTCACTACGTGCCCTTGTAAAAAGTCCCTCTCCAGCTTTATTATGATTCAAGCATTAATTGATATTTCTCATTATCTCATTTTTTTGTTAAACTTTCCCTGAATGGTCCAGGTTTATGAGATGTGTTCACAGTTTTGATTATATTTTCTTCAAAGTCCGAGAGATTTACAGTGTGCAGTTGCTTAGTGCATTGTAACTGAATGCGAAGTAAAAGCAAGTTTACACTGAGGGTGGGATTTTGTGAGTATTTCCTTGAAACAGTACACTTAGAAAAGTGTGGGTTATCTGGAAGGTGGGCTGTATACATGAAACTACAGGGATACTGAGTTTTCCAAGTGGCAGGGAGTAGTGAAGGATGTTTTTCATGAGAGAGGACACTGTGGGCTATGAGACTGCACTCCCAGTAGCACCAGAACCGTCCAAACAAAACTGCCACCAGAATGGGTCCTGCTCACAGCTCTGTGGCCCCTTCTCAATCTGTGCATGTCCTGGACTCTCTCATGGCTTTAATTCACTCAGTTAAACAAAAAAAATGCTATCTAGATATAGAGAATTTGATCAACTTATGATCAGATAAATCAGTACAAGGCAGGCAATAGAAGCATAAGAGGAAAGGGAGATGACAGGGAGAGAAGAACCACCTCTCAGCTCTGCTGTCAATAGGCTGTCATTCCTTACAAAACTGAACATTTATTTCCTTTGCTTCTGGAAGTTCATGAAGATTTTCTGAAAACTAAAATTTTGGCTATCAAGCGTCACAGTGTACTTTAAGCTTGAAAAGTGTCTTTTAAATCTGTGCAGATAAAAAGATTGAATTCTTTAATTAATGTTGGACTGCCTTTTTTCAGAACTCCCAAAGTAGTCAAAAAGCAAAGATCTACTTAGGCCAGTGTCCTGTGTTTTATAGAGACTACTGGAGACATCTAGAGAAAGATCATTCTTTTTCCAGCCTTACTCTCCCAAAAACTGGCAATTCATGTTTTAAGAACTTTCAGAAGAAAAGCTTATATTGCACCCACCATTTTGAATATAGCTATTAGTGAAACAATTTGCTGTCTGTTTAGCTAATGTCTTTCTAGTCTGCTTTAAAGGCTAATTACCAGTAGTAGTATTCGGTATTCTTGATTTAATGCTCTGATTTAAGTTAAAAAGAATTTTTTCTCACGATAAGTCATAGCATAGGACTCATGGTATCCCACTTCATAACACTTTCTTTAAAATAGATTCTTGAGAACAGAGACATCTTCAAAAAAGAAAGAAAGGAAATATAGCAAGATGTTTTTTACTTCAGGAAAATCAACAAGAGACTGTTAGGTATCAGGTGTGGAACCACAGAAACAGGGAAAAAATCCAGTTAATCATGTCAATCCAAACAGGAAAATATCTACGTTTTGTGTGAGGAAAAATCAGACACAAGTAGCAGTAGATAGATCTCTGTTGTATGTCCATGTCTTACCTGCGGCAATGGAAAACAAAACAGCAAGAAAGGTTGGAGGAAACTACAAAAAAGATTTGTTCTGGTTTGTGTTTGTGAAAAGACTTCATTCAGTTCCTGAAAGTGTCTGGAATGCCAGCAGTGACACCCACAGAAAGAATAACTTGAACTTAACTTCCAGACATTTTAGTTGATTTGTTTAGACTCTGCAGCTGCGTTATGGGATAGAAACACGCTATGTATGAACTGCAGACTGCAGCACATAGATTATATCCTGTTAAAATTGTGTAGTCTGAAAAAAGCCTGTTATGGATACACAGTTGGACAGCTGCTCTGGAGTGATGCAGCAGTTTTGTATTGTACCATAAGCATTATTTTTGGATGTGAGCATGGCTTAACTAGCTCAGGGAGGATCACTCTGGTTTGAGTGACGCCGTGTTGGCACTGTGTCAGGGCAAAGTTTTTTTTGTGAAATTTATCTCCAGCCAAATGTCCCTCCACTTGCTGCTGTAATGAGGAAAAAGACAACATCAGAAACTCCTGCTCTGCGACAGTCCTTAGCTTTAGTTTGGGCTTTTTGGGACCACTGAAAAGCAACATTTACAAGAACAGCTTTTGAATGAGACCAGTCATTCGTAGAAAAGCATCAGGATCAACTTTATATTATATTTTATTCTTTACTATTTAGCTGCAACTGAGATTTTAGTTTGTTGCTAAAAGTATTACTTCTTTTGGTAATGAAAAAAAAAATAGAAAAGGTGTGGGAACGTTCCCCAACGCAGCTCCTATCCCTTTTCAAACTGAAAAGAAGTCAATGTCTGGTGAAGGTGGTTTATATTGAGAAGGTTTTCTCTAAAGTAATGTTCTACTTCAAACCGTATATTTGCATATTTATTCCTCAATACAGTGTGTGCTTTTGGTTTTTTGGGTTGGAAGTGAATAATGTGATCAAATGAGGAAGGTGTAGAGTTGTCCAGTCCATCTCCAGTCGCTACAGAACTTTCCCAGTATATATTTGAATGTTTGTCTGATCCAGACAACACAGCCATTTGTTAGAAAACATTCATTTGTGCCTTGCGTGTAACTAATACAAGCCAATTTGATAAAACTGGGAAAAGAGAATGTTCTATTTTACTTGATTTTATGGGGGGTTTGGAGATAGATTTTAAAACTAAATTAGTGACAGAATAGAGAAACAAACCAAATGATGGCCTTTTCTGAGTGCTTCCAAATGTAGGGGAGCTAGTTCCGGGTTTTCTGGATAGCCTTTAAAAGATGTAATTTTTCAACGCTGGATCTGATGAACTTTAGGAAGGTTCAGTTAAGGTGCAGAGCTGAACATTACGCTTTGGGCTCATCTCTTGGGCAACTAAATGTAATAACATACTGCAATGAGTGTTTGCATATATTATCTAAAATGCTAGTTACAAGTAGGGTGATTAGAGTGATTAGATGGAAAATTACCACTTACTACACGTATATCACAACTAGCTTTTGGTTATGTTCTTTAACCTGCTTTGCTACCTCTTCTGAAGCTGTAAGAGTAAACACCTGCTTAAAAAGGTAATAAAAAATGAACTTGAAATTGTTTCTTCAGGAGTGTCAGTGTGTGTGTGGGGGGGAGGGCGCTTAGAAAAATACATTTTTCTTGTCTATCTCGTTTTCCAGGAAATGACAAACTAGCATATGCTTTCAATTTTAGAGGTCAAAGTTATAATTTTTGTTCGCTAGGTTACATAGGAGAAAACTTTGAGGAATCTTTAATATTGCCAAATATGTAAAGGGCAGCAATGGAAGAAGAAAACAGAGCTGTGGAACAAAGTAGTTCATGCACAGAAGAGAGATTTATCTTGGCTCAGCAGAGCCATATATAAACTTTCTTTTCACTGGTGACTTCAGAGTAGACTACATAAGAGAGGCAGTTAATAATTTTTGGCTTTGAGCTGCATCTCTTATTTAAGTGCATTCTTTTAAATTTTTAAACAAGAGTCAGTGAATTAAAACAATAGTGAATATTTTTATGGGTATAAGCTAAGGGTATTAATTTGCTTATAAAATTCTCGTGTTTCAGAAATTAACCCTCTTAAAAATGTATGTATTTTTATATTTGATTTTTCCAAGAGCCATTCTCTTGGGGTTGCATTTATGAAAATATAGTTAAAGGCTCTTATTAAGAGTATAGATCGGTTCCTGTTCTTTTGGTAAATACATATGGTCTGAAGACCTACCACAACTGAAATAAAAGGTAAAATGTCCAGTGATTTCACAGAATGTGAATTTAAGTTACCTTCATATATATCTTGCTTTAAGTGAAGGACTAGGAGGTAAATACTCACTAAAAATTTTCAGTTGTCATATTTTATGGATTTCAGCTTTTCCTGTAGCATTTGAGAGCATTTATATGACATTATTTAGGTGTGGCATGGAAATACACTGTCATTGTGTAACTGACTGTTGGTAAGAAGCTGACTGTAATAGTTTTCCTTTATTTATAGTAGTAATAAAGGAGATCACATAAACACAAGTGGTTTTCACACTAGAAATAAGTAATATCAGCTGAAGTTAATTTTAAGTGTATCGACAGGAGAACACTTAAGGCCAGCTCTTGAGTGACCCATTACTTTTACTGTTTCTTTCTGGAGGAGTTTGGGGGAAGGAGGGAGGCTGTTTATAATTACAGTGTAATAAAAGATGCATTATATATTATACCACAGTGCATAAAAGTCAAATGGGTAGGTCATGTTAAAATGTACATTACAGAATTAAGTAAGAGAGCATCATTATTATAATGTGAGAAGAAAAGTTATCATTTTCTTTGTTGTTTTGCAGCAAACTGTGACCTTTCATTCTGTTCCATTAAAAGCAGATAATGGTAGCTGAATCAGTCTGCTCCCTATTCTAAACCAGATAAGAACTGCATTATTTTGTGATTAAATGGAAACAAGAAAAAATATTGAAGGGGCTTCAAGAAGCTAGACTATGCTATTCTAGAATTACTATTTTTTCCTTTAGAATGTTTAGAATTCTGCTGCTTTTTCTAGAATCCGGTCAGCTAGAACAGCAACTTGAGGAGGCCAGCACTGCAAGGCGGGAGTTGGATGATGCTTCCAGACAAATAAAGGCTTTTGAGAAACAAGTCAGAACACTAAAGCAAGAGAGGGAAGATCTTAATAAGGTAAAAGCATTTTGTCAGCAACTCTTCTAAACCCTAAAGTCTGGTTTATTTTTGTTCATTTTGCCTGAAATAACTTTCAAGTGTAAAACTAATGAACAAATAACAAATGTGTAGCATGACCTACTTTGCTTTCTGCCTACCTTTTTTTTTTTTTTTTAAGACAATTATTAAGACAATAATTTTAAGGACATTATTTAACATGTTGTATGTATGTATGGCTGCTGGGTGGTCCTAGGTGATTGCTTCCAGATAGTGAACAACTCCATGATCCAAATTACATGGTGGCTGCAAAAAAGGTTTTACAGCTTCAGATAAAGGTGATAATGATAGGGGTTAGAGAAGAGCAGAGCAGAGAAGAACTATTCCAGACAACTAATTTAATCTGAAGTATGGGTGAGACTTTAGACGGGAAAAAATGTGAAGAATATTGTATTAAAGCTGTGTCACAGAAGTGTTTCCAGAAGGGAGATGTGAAAAATTGCCCAGATATGAAGATTGAAAAGTAATTTGAAATAGCTACAATTAAAGAATACTGGATTTTATTTCTTCTCCTCTGTCTCCCCAATTCCTCATTTTCTGATTTATAACATACTGTCTTTCATGGCTCTTTTTTGTATTCATGATTAGATTAACCTGTAATCAGGTGTGAAATACATTAGCCTGTTTCTCATCATGATTATATTGGCCCAGTATTTTGGAGTCCATACTCAATGTTGATGTACCAGCTGTGTTTAACACTGTTTCTTTTGACCCTTAAGGCTCTTAAAATCTTGAAAGCTGCCAGTTTGTCCAAGAAATACTATCTCTCTTCTAAAACAACTTGAAGTGATTAGGAGCTCTTTTTAACAACCTTAGAAATGTTGTTAGATTTATATAGATGTCAACAGTGCCAAATATTAATTCTTCCTGTTGATCTTCTTTTCATCCTCAAATTTGCTTTTCCTTGATTCTTTGTTCTACTCCAGTTTGGCTGAACATCATTAAACTATTTAAACTGTTGTGGTCCCTCACTGGTAGTGTAGTAGCACAAATCCAGGGCACAGCAAGTTTTGTGAAGGTATTGTTCTGTGGAGTTGTCACAGCACTAGCAGTTTTACTTCATGTGGGTTCTTTTAAAGGAATAATTGTCATATAATGCTACAGCGTTTTGTTGCCTGAAACTTTCTGTAATATTTGATATTAAGGTACAGTGTATGGAAATCATGCTCACCATTGCAGGTCAGTTTTCAAAAGCTTCTAGAGTAAAAATTTTTATAGAGCAGACTTTTCCATTCAACACAAAAACTTTTTTTTAATCATTTAGCAGTTGAGATTCTTTTAATTTATTTAAGTAGTTATTGAAAAATCTATGCTAATTAAATTTTTTTCACTAAGAAAACAAGGTATTTTTATGTTATAATGCAAGTGCTTGAAAACCATTGTGTTTAACCTGTTATAATGGAGAAAATTCCTACTTGGTTTATGTTTATGCACTTCTACTGACTTTAGTAGTGTAAAACCTGGCCTCTTTCCTTATTTATGGAGGCACACAATCTATATCATAGATGCATTCATGAAAAGAAATTAATATATGGTTTCTGTTGACTCTGGAGGAGGTGTTAGATGTGCATCCGGAGACAGAATTGGCCTTGCAGCTTTCTAGGTTTATTACTTAATTCTTTTTTTAAACTGTAGGAACTGGCAGAGTCTAGTGACAGATTAAAATCCCAAGCCAAAGAGCTGAAAGATGCACACAGCCAGCGGAAATTGGCAATGCAGGAGTTCTCAGAGATGAACGAGCGGCTGACAGACTTGCACTCTCAAAAACAAAAGCTTGCCCGCCAGCTCCGAGATAAGGAGGAAGAAATGGAAGTGGTGATGCAAAAAGTAGAAAGTTTAAGGCAAGAGTTACGCAGAACAGAGAGACTTAAAAAAGAAGTAAGTGGTGAGAAGATTGTTTAGACTCTGTGAAATAAGTTATCTGTAAGGTTTTCTGAACAAGTAATTTTTTTTTTTCTAATTTGTAAATTAACTTCTTGATTGTTGTTTCGAACAGTACCGGTTTTGTTTTCTAAGAATTTTAAGTGTTCAGTTGAGTGATGAAGATTTCTCTCTTATATTAAAAACCATCAATAGATTTTGAAAAAAAAAAAAGAATCCTATCTATTAAAAACGTATGTACTTTTGTAGCTGGAAGTCCAAGCTGAAGCTGCAGCTGCTGAGGCATCCAAAGACAGGAAATTGCGAGAGAGGAGTGAACAGTACTCTAAACAGTTGGAAAGCGAAGTAGAAGGGCTAAAGGTTAGTCTGTTTTGATATTAACACCTGCAAAGTTACTAGTCAACTAGGACTTGGATCTGTTTGATTGCTTTCAGATGTAGGACAAAAGGGTTTTGTCAGTTTGTCGCTTCAGTTGGTGCTGAATATTATTGCAGGCGTGCATCGCATTGTTGTCCAGAAAAATGAACATTTGCCTGATGCTTTATTTCTTAATAACTCAACAGTTTCTTACCAAATTGCTTCCATTGGTACTTTGTTTAATTTTACCAGCTAAAAGCTTATTTTTTGGCACAGGATGGTTGAATATTTGAAGATTAAACTGCTGCATCTAAGCAGGTTTCTGTATAAGTGTTCTGTCTACTGTGTTGTTCCTTGTGTTTCTTGCATAATAGATGTCAACTGATGTAACTGTAAAGGAAAAATTTTAGCTTATTCTTCCTCTCAGCCAGAAGTTGAGGTGTTCTTGCACAAGAACAGCACTGAGCATGAAGAGGTTATTTACACTGATGAGGTTGCTCACACATGTATGTCATTTTGCAAGCAGAAACCTAAGGCAGCCAAGAATGTTAACTGTTATTTTATTCTGTGATTCAGCATTTTTATACAATGCTCTGAAAAAATTAGACTTTCTCAAAAATTGAATGAGAAGGTTTTTAATTTACATATGAGGATTGCTGTTCATTTACAGCAAAATCCTGTTCCAAATGTTCCATTGAGTAGGGTAATTCTAAACTTCTCATGCAAAATGCAAGATTAGGCCTATTCTGGTCTTAATTTACAGGAACAGCAGAGTTTTTTTCGTTAGAATTCTCTGGGACATTTGTCAACGTTAACTTACAGCACAGAAAATTTGGTGGTTTTTTGCAAACATTCTTTTATTTGGCCTTCTTTTGATAAGGAAATCCATTCAACTTGAAATTTGGATTTATAAAGTTTCTACTGCTGTGAATTCAGATTGTTATCTGAAAATTAGGATGTATTTCTTCTGCTTCAATGAATCTTCACCATCAGCAAAGAGTTTGTATGACAGTCTAAGAGGCGAGAAGAATATATGGGAGATCTATTGAGAATAAATGATACACTGATTTATAACAGGGCAAGTTTATCAGAAGAGGAAAGAGGAACTGTGGCATGCTTAGTAATATTTTATGATTCAGTAGGCAAACTTTGGATCATATGTGGTTGTTGTGATACTGCAGTGTCCATTCCTTAAAAGCTCTTCATGGCTCCTTAGTTAAGCTCAGGGAGCTCTCCTAGACAAAAGTCAATATTTACAGAAGGAAGATTCCTCCAAATGAGGAGAATAGAAAAGACCATTAATGATGGCAGGTTAAGGGTAAACAGGATGTCAAGGGCTAAATAAAGAGAATTTAGGAAGCACTTTGCAAAGGATGCTTGGGGTGATTGTGGGAAGTTCTTTAAAGCAAAAGCAGAAAGAACATTAGGAAACTCATGGGTCTGCTTGTTGACAGGATGAAAAAGGCAAACTCTGAGTTAATAGGGATGTGGCAGAAACTCTCCACAGGTCTTTGGTATGTCAGACTTTTCTGCTGAAGCAGGGGAGATTGCCACGCAGAGTCCACTCTTTGCAGTAGATGAGCTGGATCAGTGTGAGGATGATGTGCAGGAAGCAGTGGAGCTGGCAGGTGAGGGAGATGTGAAGTCACTTGGACCAGTGGCGTTGCTTAGAGAGTTCTGAAGGAACTTAAATGAGAAGTAAGAGAACTGCTGGCCAAGATATGCACCCTCTTATTACAGGCAGCCCACTGCTACTGTAACTCTCATCCAGATGATCCTGGGAAAAAAAGAGGACTGGGTGCAACTTCCTTAGAAAAGGCATAGAGGCTATGGCAAAGAATAAGGTCAGAGAGTTCCTGGATGAAGCAGAACCTATTGGGAAGAAGGCAGTGTGCCTTCTGGCCAGCCAAGTCCTGCAACACTAACCTGCTGGGATTCTGCAAAGTTGTCAGTAAATGTGCAGACAGAGGAGATCCTGTGGATGTCATGTATTTGGATTTTCAATAAAGTCAGACTCGATATGAGTGCACAGTGTGCCCTGGCAGCCAAGAGGGCAAACTGCACCCTGGGGTGCATTAAACAGCAACTATCTATGTGCCAGGGGATGCATTATGTCTCAGTTGCACCATTTGTCCACTTGAAATGAGCATATATGAAAACATCTATTTGGAATTTGTGCTTACATCAATTCAAAATATATTCTCTGTTTATTCTATATCTCTCTAGTTAAACCGCTGTTAAATACTCTTCAGCTTTCTCTTCTACTGCACCATCTGTCTTATGGTCTTAATAGTATCTTTTCTTTGTGGTAAAAAATGTGCAATACCACTAAAACATTTTATGTACCTGCTACATGATGTTGCAAAGCCTAAGCTTTTTTTGTGCTCCATTGCCATGTATGTGTAGGCAGTTGGGTGTGTTGGGCAGTAACAAACAAGTTCAGTAGTTAACAACCTGTGCAGAAAAGAAAATTCCCAAATTCCTATGCTTGCTTGCTTGTCTTTTTTTTTTAAATCTTTCTTTCTGCAAGCTATCTCTTGTTAGGATGGCATCTTTCTCCAGTTTACCGTTCTGCATCCTCCTAAGGGCAGGACTTTACTCTTAGATCAAAACAGAGTTTTGTTTTGATGAGTTAGAGAAAACAATGCAGTAGCAGCACATCTCTGGCTCATACATTTAGGGGGCTTTGCAGTTTTTTGCTGACACTAACAGCAAGGCCCAGCTTTCTCATAGAATTTGTCATGGTAGAAATTCAGCTCATCGGAATGTTCTACAATGACATTTAGCTCTTAAAGCCTGTTCATACATCAGCAAAAGATAACTACCCAAAACCATGTCCAATTAAGGGTGACTGAGAGGTAATTAATATCTCATGGTAAGAATGGAGGTATAATTAACAAAATATCTTCGATCCTCTTAAAGGTGTGACACAGTCACCATAAGGAAGTACATTTTCCAGTTTCCCGCACTTTCTCAAAACACAATGTTTTTATGAAGTTATTTTCCTTTCCTTAAACAATGTTTAATTACATATTTTTAAAAATAGAAGACATTCCAAACCAAGTTGTCCATATGTTTACATTTAAAAGTTATTTCCGTACTTGGATTTCAGTGCATGTCATGCCACTATCTCATTTTGAACCTGATCTTGCTCCTCCTCTATGTTATGGCAGGACATTGAGTTTAGTGAGTGCAGCATTTGGTGCAAATGTGTATGTACCCTGAAGCAGTGTGTAAAGACTATTGAAATGCCAGAAGACCTCACTAAGAGAGCTATGCAGCTGCGAAAAGTGAAGTAATTACTCTTATTGTTTAAAGCTTGTTTTTCCTATTAATCCACTATGATGTAAATGGTCAGTTTTAAGTAAAATAGGTCAGGTTTCCCTCCTGACTGATACAATCCATATAGTGTTTCTGTAGCTAGATTTTAGCCTTCAGTTAAGCCTCTTCTTGCCTTAGTATAGCTTTTCCGCAAATTATTTGTCCTTCAAAATATATTAACTCTATATCATAATCCTTACTCTGCATTCCTGAAAAGTCACTAGAACTTGCTGCTGTCAGCTGTGTGAGTGGAAACATTAAGTGTCTTCTAATTCTGTGGTCACTTTCTGACTGCATGTAAGGGGAGTCAGAATGTGAGGAGAGATGTTTAAAGTGATGATCAAATTGTCAATGGCTTGAAAACTGTTACTACATTTAAATAACAAAACAATAGAGTACCTTTGAAATTTGTGTTCTAACAAATCTTGAAAAAAATTGAGATAGATGTGTTTAACTCAAGTCTCTAATGGGATATTTTCTGAACATAAATTTATGAGTATTGAATTGTTATTAGGGATAATTTTCAGCATTCTTGAGTGTTAATTTGGGGCTGTTTATTTTAGCAAAAACAGGTTGGTCGCTCACCTGGGGTAAGCAGTATAGAACACCAGCAAGAGATCACTAAATTAAAGGCAGACCTGGAAAAGAAAACTGTTTTCTATGAAGAGGAACTATCTAAACGTGAAATGTTGCATGCTAATGAAATAAAAAGTCTGAAGAAAGAACTGCGGGATGCAGAGAGCCAGCAGCTTGCCCTCAAGAAGGAAATCATGGTTTTGAAAGACAAGTTAGAGAAAACAAGAAGAGAAAAGTGAGTATTGCATGGAATTTACCTTTTTTCAGTCTTTTGAAGTCTCCTAGTGTTTTTTCAAACACACTGTCACTCCTTAACTGCAGTGCAGGCATAGTCATTTTGGCTGAGCTAATGCCAGGGTTGAAAACTGTCACCTTTAAAATAAAACAGAAGAAAAAAATCCACATCCCTGTACTGAAACAGTTAATTTTGCACCAGAACTGTTTTACTGGCTGACCATTCCAAGGTATGCAACTTGAGTTACAGACTTGCAGCTCTGGGTAAGTTGACCCCTGAAGCTTATGTTGCACTTTCATGCAGTTTTTTTGACATTTTTTTCTTTTATTTGGTATTTCCATCTTTTGATGCAAAACTAACGTGTTAGAGATCAACTATTGTTTACATTTCTGCCAGCACAGGAACAGTCACTTAATGCGAACCGAGGCTAATCCATGCTGGGTTCCATCCAGTGTTAACATCAGTCAGCAGACTACTGTAGGCGTAAGCTGCTTTATCTCTTCTGACATGGTAATTTGTCAGACCTGCTTTTTTCTCTCCCACATGGTGGGGCTTATAACTGGCCTTGAGAATGTTCCTTCAGGCATTCATCAATAAAACCAAATTTTCTGTTGGATAACGTAGAAGTGGAAATAGTAATAAATTGAATGTGTTCATGTTTATTCCTAAAAAATTCAGAATGCTTTATAGAGGGTAACATAGGTGTATCTTTCTGCTGCTGTAGCAAGATGGCATATTAGAGAAACCATGGAGAAGTTCCTACTGCAAGCTGAGCCAAACTGTAGCGAGTCCTTAAATATAAGTAGCAAATGAAATACCGATTTTTTTCAAAGAAGTTAATGCAAATAGGAGTAGAAACACTGCTTCTCTGGTAGATTGTGTTCAGCAGGGGACATAGATCATACAGCCTAGAATGAAGTGGATGAACTGTTTCTTCCTAGCATGCAGCTATTCATAGGCTGGACATAGTAACAACACAGTAGTTCACTGCTTTGTTCTAGGTTAAGAGGTAAAGCTTGCATCAGCAGCATGTTTTCATTGTAACACAACTTAATGGTCTTGCTGACCAGTGAGTTACAAATTCACAAAAGGCTATTCTGTCTTGTAAAATAAAAAGGTGATAGTATGACACACTTTTAACTCCAGCAGTGTTATTCCTCAGAGGGAGGAATATTAAATAAAAAAATCAGTAATACTTCTTTCTGCAGGGTAAACTGTTGGTAAAGATCATACCTCCAAGCACTGACCAGACCAAATACTCCTTCTTTCCTAATTCTAATGTTGTACAGCTGCAGACATTCTAACTAGATGTCCATCTGGTGAAATAACAAATGTTGATGTGCTTCATGCTAGCTAGTTCATAAATCTTCTTTCAATCTGGTTTCTCTCTAATGTGGGTGCTGTATGTATTTCAAATGTTAGTGTAAGAAAATATTTGAAAGCATGAACAGAAATGTGTCACATAACAGGTTTCCAACACTTGGCTTTTCATGAGGAGGGCTTCAGCATCATATTAAGTCAGGTGTCCAAGCACACGATGAGTGATTGATGAAGGCCTGATTTTATCTGTGTTTTGTTAAACAAATCTGCAGAATCTCATGCAAGTATTAGGGCTCCACAGAATTGCAGTAATCCACTGTTCAAACTATGCTATAGGTAGACTTCTGCTATTTAGAAGGGAATCTTAAATATTAGGAATGCAAGAATTGCGGTTGCTACTCAATTCTCAATATTTGGTAACTTTCCATAAAAGAACATGGATTTTTTGTTTCTGCTTACACCTGTTGTTTTTAGCTTTTGTAGTCAGGCATGAAAAGCTTTTTGTGAGTCTTCCAGTGCAGAGGTGTTCAGTGTAAGCGTTGAAAAGGAAGCACCTGGAGGATTTATGCTGAGATAAGTGGAATTATTTCAACAATAGGCTTTTAGTGGGTGTGGAGTTGAAGTGTGCTTATACAGTTTGGCAAAAATATTTTAGTAGTCTAAAAATAATCTTCCATGCATATTAAAAAAGATTTTGGTAAGAGGACGTGGTTGTATTACTCTGTAAGGACTATATATAAGAGTGAATTACATAGGTTACTCCAAGCAAGGATCAGTAAGAGCTTTAACAAAGTCTCTGTGTACATTTCTGTGTAACTTGCATGTTTGTGGTTTCTGTTATGGTTTTTTTTTAATAGGTATTTTTTCTTTGTTTCCTTCAAATTTAAGCTTTATAACTCCTGCTACTTCAACAGCATAAATCTTCAAGGGAGAGAAACCACCTTTCTGTACAAAGTGATTGCCCTTTGCTAAAGTCTCATAAGCTGCATGCTGTTGAAGTTGGAAGCGTAGGAACACAGTATCAGGCCAGTGATCTGTGCAGCACAAGATTGCATTTCTTAGAATTGTCATTATGAAATATTTCAGAAGAAGGTGCAAGAAACTGTGCAAAATAAATCATTTGTAGAAGTTTCTTTTAAGCCCATCATTTCACGATGGATTTATAAAACAGGGGGCTTTATAAAACAGCATTTACTGTTTTTAAATTGTGACATAAAGAAGCCTGGGGGCTGGTATTTGTTTCGGGTCTACTTTTCTAGGTTTCAAAGCAGTAAGATAAAATATTTCACCACTTTGTACAGATGCAATAAAGAGCTGGAGTGACAGTGATACAAAAAAGCTGTATTTCACATTGCTTGCATGTGGTTTGCTGCAGTTTTACTGATAAAAAGAAAGCTGGATCATGTATGATTTCTTAACTTGAAGAGCAGATACATAGCTAAATGTTAGATGAGAGTAAAAGCTTGATGGGAGAGGAGGATGCCAGGCTTCAAAGCAAAGGCATTATTTTGATCTTGCTGGCTGTCCAAGGTACATCTAGGGAGTCTGTCACAGTTCTGTAGTTTGCTGAGTTGATATTTGGGTGTGATAGATTATACTCACATTCTCCTCTGTTTCAAATTTATCTTCATTTCTGTATTATACTACAGCAGTCTGACTTAATGGGGTAGCAACAATCACCAGTTGAAATAAGTCCAATAAGTAAAATACAGAAAACTACAAATATGTTGGGCTCTTTCACCAACCTAAAGCTTCCTTAATCCACCACCATTTATGGCTGCTTTCAACCTTAGAGGCTTAAGGAATAAATTTAAGACAAATATAGAATTAAAAATCCTAAACAAAACCATGAAATCTTTAAAGAAATTAATTAAAAATTAGTTTGGTCTTCTGCCTGAGAAATTAGCTTTGAATCTAAGCCTTGAAAACAGAAGCAGGACCTGTTATTAATTCCCCTGACAACCAATGCTTTAATCTCTTCCTGTCTTTTCCCTAGACTGCTCATCATATGCATGGAATCTGTTGATATAGAAAAGGAGTGGTGGTGAATTTCAAACTTGGCATTTAAACAGTAACTATAGCATGTTACTTTACTAGGATGAAGTATTAAGTTTCAAAGGATGCCTAGCAACATAGAATTTCACTATGGGTCTAACATGATGTACTAGATTTCAAAGAGTGGTTGAAGCACTAAATGAATTTCAAATTAGGAATAGGAAATTCAAACCAGCATTACTCTTAACTGGGTTTGCTGTAGCCAAGGTCATTTCTCATCCTTTAATAGTGTTCTCTCAATTTGATAGAATTGTAGTAGTTCTGCATCTCAGAAAAAGAGGCAAGGATGTGATTTCTGTGTTGCACAGTGTAAAATTCTGATCTGTATCCAGAAAAAAAATTACAGTGCTCAAGACAAAGTTTCCCCTGGAAATTATTTTTACAGTTAACCTTTTATACTGCTCATTTTTTCAAGCCTTATTAAGGCTGGACAGTGGTATTTGATGAATGGGTATTTACTGTATATGTGGCATTTATAATATAGTTCTGTCAACCTACTGATGAACTTTGTGCCAGTGACCTGAATAATTGGTAAAAGGTGAGTACAAGATGCAAATGTACCAAGTCTGAAATCAGTAGTTACAAGGTGGGAGTTACACATCTAAAACATTGTGTACACCACTTGAAGGAATTTACAACGTCTTTTGGCAAACAGAGGACCTGCAGCTTCATTTATTTTCCAGTTCTCGTGTTCATTGTGCTAGATTAAAGTTGATTATTAAGCAGATTCAACCAGAGGTTCTCCTCTACTGAATGACATCTGTGGGAGAAGGAAGGGAAGGCTTGGGGGAAACAGCTGCTGTGAAACTTTCTCAGAAAGAATGGTCTAAACTTGCTGTAGAATCTGGTGATATTAAGAGTGTATAGGCTATCCATCCTCTTTTTGCTCATAGTTAATATATGGTACCTGAATTAACAGTTCAGATGTGTCTTCTGGCTGTTCTAAATTGTCCAAAGACTAGCCCATATATAAGCTTTTCTCATCAGAGACCCAGCTCCAGGTCCTCTAATGTAGCTTCTATATGCTCTGGTTTCATGTGTGGTCGTTTTTGCTGGTCATTCTGTGAAACTTGGAGTTGTAGAAATGTATAAATTAAAATAATATTTCTATGAGCAGGGCATTTTAGAATATCGACACACACTTTGGTCTGCAGGATCACAGCTGCTCAGTGTGTGAAGGATTCATCTAAAGAATAAAATTTCTATAAGTGGATTGATAAACAGTAGCTTGGTGAAGCTCTGTTAATTCTATACTGTCTAACACTAAAATTCAACAGACTATCTTGATGGTAGTGTATCAAATTACTTATTTTTAATAGACTGTGCTGTTGTCAATGTAGTACTTCAACATGTGTGTGCATTGGTCTCTTTGTGTTTAAGTGAATAATGGGATGAGTTTTAGAATAGAAAACTTTCTAATTCTACTTTACTTTATTTCTTAGCCAAAGTGAGAGAGAGGAATTTGAAACAGAGTTCAAACAAAAATATGAACGAGAAAAGCTTCTGCTGACAGAGGAAAACAAAAAACTTACAAATGAACTTGATAAGGTAAATGCTGAGTAGTTGAGTCCTGAATTTACAATTCTTGTATGCTGTGTACAAATTGGACAATATAGAGCTGTATTGGTTATTATTAACTCTTAACTGGTAGCAGAATTGATGTTATACAAAAATTGCTGATTAATATTTGATTTGAATAGAGGATCTACATGCATCCAAACTTGAGAAGGCATGTGTACATATGTGCATATATTAGTATTTATGTGTGGGAATTTAATTAAATGGTCTTACAGTTTGTAAGATTAATTTTAGACAACACTGTAAGCCAACAAAAAAGGGTTATTTCATTGTATGACCCAAATATAAAAATACATAGTTAATTATGTGATTACTTAGAGTATATTTGCATGTCAGTTGTTGTGAAATACCAGGGCCCCTCCTACCTTTTGAGGTTAAGTGTTACTTGGAGATATTAAAAAAATACAAATGATAAGGCATATTAATTGAAGTGTGTTGAGCAAGTAATAATTATGATTCGTGCATTTGGATTGTCTCTTTATTGTTCATTTTGACCGGTTATTCAAGTTCATTGTGGATTATCCAAGTCTTGCTAAACTTGTCTATTATTTTTGTAATACCTTAGATTTTCTAAAAATATGATGAAAGTACAGTGTTCTTCAAAGTAAGCATGTTTGCATGTTAGTGCTCAAATTTAAGTATATTTTCATACAAGTATGACACATAATATATATGCCTGTATGTAGGCTTTGTCCAAGAACACTAGCCACTTAGATTGGTTGTGTGCTCTCTCTCTCCCCCCCCAAATAACTTTGTATTTTTCCTGTCCAATGACATTTAATAAGTAGGCATATTTAAATGATAAGGCCATTTAAATGATAAATAGGGTGTGGAGTTATTCATATTTGAAGTAAAAAGCAAGATAGATTTAAAACTGGCAATTTTTTTATCAGTTTGATTTGTTAATATATTTCAGTACTAAAAGAAGCCTTTCACGTGAGATTCATTCTCTTAAGAAGGCCTGCCTACAAAATCTTTCTGGTCTCTGATTCCAGTTTGACTTTCTGAATAATAATTTAACATAATGAAGGTTTAGTTCCCTTTACCAGCTCAGGTTAGCTGTGGCTTTTGTCTTGCAGAATGTGCCTGTGTGAATGGCAGCTATGTGAATGCGAGAGGTTAATTGCTAGGTATAACATATTGCTCTTAAATATGTGCATTTAATTTCAGTTTCCCTGTCTGCAGGTAAGTGCAATGAAAAATAGGGGAATGTGAAACACCTGGAGAATCTCAGGACTGTCTCATGCTTGTATCTGTTAAGCCTGTCTTTCTCCATGGTTACTAAACAAGGGAGAGGTTCGACAGTCTTATCTGAGCTATAACAATTTTTATACCTTTGCTTTGCTCTTTTAATGTAGCTTTTTCTATACAGAACATTCCACACCTATATGGTGCAAAGCAGAAACCTTCTAAGAGTTGTAGAGATATTTGGAGGCTCAGAAAACTGATTTATTTTGTAGAGTAAAAATGTAGTTCTAGTCCTTAAAAGTGGCCTTTCAATACAGCTAAGGCCATAGGTGAGAAGAGATTCTGACTTTTATTGTTACATGGTGTTTATTGTGATGGGCAGTACCAATTTTTAAAACAGATGAATGATGTGGGAGAGGGAAAGGGGGGGGGATCTTTGAGTCTGCACAGAGGTGGAGTCACAGCAGTTTATACTTGTAATAAGTTGTTTAAATTCTCATTCAGCTCACTGCCATGTTTGAGAGGCTGAGTATGAATAATCGGCAGCTGGAAGAAGAGATGAGAGACCTGGCTGATAAGAAGGAGTCTGTGGCCCACTGGGAGGCCCAAATTACTGAGATTATCCAATGGTGAGTACTCTGCTCTCATGTCATTACAGAATCCCCTCAATATGTGGTGGGGCTGTTACTGCATTTTTGTCTCTGCACATGGCACTTGGAAGTGCTTGGGTGAAGTCTCACACCCGTCTGGGGTTTTGTTTGAGATTTTAATAATAGACAAATCCAGAAAATTGTGTTCTTCCTTAAGAGCGAAAGTGTCTTACTAAATACAGCTTTTTAAAGTGCAGAAGAATCGTGGTCATCGGGTGTGGCTTGTGGCTGTGGAAAAATGCTGAAAGGAAGCATGTGCTGAGCTCACGCCTCCAAGGGGGAACAAGCCTGGGAAAAGCAGTGACTTGAGAGTGTTTGTGTCTGGGCATTAATTTCCTTCATCTGCTTGGCATGTGGCAGAATGAAACAAATACAGTGCAGCTTTTATGTGATTTTTTTACAAGGAGGGCATTTGAGACTACCACAAAGCCAGTCAAGTGATGTTTCTAATAGTACTTTTGCTAAATAATGATGTTATGTTTCTGTGAAAAAAAAATGTTGAAACTATTAAGGGAAAAAGATGGTGTATTCTAGGTTTTTTATCTATCTTTATTTTTCCCTCCATGCCTGCTTATCTCCACTTCCTTTTAATGGTCCATTGCAGTGTTTCACATCTACAAAACCAGATTGCATTCAGACTTTTTTTTTTACAGATCATCCACTTGTGGGAAGACATCATCATATATACATCATCATATACTAATCTTTTTTCTCGTACTACTTGATTATTCTCTCCCCTCCCTTTTTCCCATCTCATGTTAGTGAAAAAATCTAATTTGTTGTATCCAGGCAAAAATGGGAAACACTGTTTCAGTGAAACCTAGTTTGGTGTTGTTGTAATGTCAGTATAATTTTGTTGTCCAGTTACAGAGAAGTTTGGCTTTTGAATACTGCCATGTGAATACATAACAAGAAAGAAGGACCATCTTCTGGGTTTCATTTAAACAATGTTTTTTACATAAAATTGCATAATACTGATCCGTGTTATGAAGTCCTAGTGTCTCAAGGCCTTGTATTTGTAGCAGAAGGTACAAAATTTAAAGGGTCCGCTTTATCCATGTTCCTTTTATATCTTTTCTCTCGTAACTGTGGGTGTAGTAGACAACCTGTGTCACAGAAATTTAAAAAAGTACTTAAAAATTGTTTAAATGAACAGTTAATTTCTGACCAATCAAAAATGTTTGTTCAGGAAAAAAATCAAGATAAGAAGTCAGACAAGTCTTTTATTTCACATTCCTTGTTGTTTTAAGGTTGTTTTTACTTATCTGTTGTAATGCACCAAGGTAATCAAACGTAATTTTTCAAATTCACGTGTGAAAGCACTCATAAAACCTGGCAGTTATGGACAAAAGCAAACTGGAATTAGTTGTGGATTCTTTTACTTAATACTATGTAAAAATGTACCAAAAGCCATTAAGAATGTACCTTCTGCATTTTATGAGAGTGTTTAATATTTTAAGATGTACTACTGATGTGGTTCAGGTGTATGATAAAGCATTTTTCATGTTAGAGATGTCACTGTGCCGTGGTAAAAGGGTTTGGGCTTGAGTTTTTTGTTATCTCTAAAGATACTTAATGAAAAAAGATCCAGGAACATGCAAGCCTAACTTTCTGAATGACAGACACCATTTTACTGATCCCTTACAATGATATAGTGTCTTTTAAAAAGTATGGAACTAAAAACTAAATAATTATCTGAAAAGAAAAAAAATAAAAGTGCTGTGGGCAGACATTAAGGAGTCAAAAAAATCTTGCTTGGTTCCAGTTTGTCATCACTATACACATCTCAATTTTCACTTAATTTTCACTATATACACTCAATTTTCTCTGCTTATGTTAAATTTTTTTCAACTATGTGAGCCTTTATCTTAGGTCACATTTTTTCCTTGTTATGTTTAGATTTTTCCATGTGTCACCTAGAAAATCTGGTCGTGTTCATCTGCTGTTCTTAGAATTCAGCACTGCATACCAAAACTAGGTCCTTCTCTGGGGAACAGGGGGTGCTATATGAAGTATTTAAGCATGTATTATAATGATAAGTGCTTTAAAGGAGAAAAAAAAACCCCATTTAATTCTGAAGAAAACTAGACTTATTTAAAGAGTCATAAACCTATGTTTTCCTCAGAGGAACATGCAATTTAAATCAGTTCCTGTGTACATCTTCAGTATGACAACAGAATGGAGCTACCAAAGTTGAGTAGAGCTGGTAGGCTGCCTCTTCAAAACTAGCAGATTTTTTCTCTTATTAACTTTTTATATTACTTTTATATATAATTATTATATTAAATATATATTATTATATATAATTACTGTATTTTAAAATATTACATTAAAATATGTATTTTGACTGCATACTTCCCCTCTCTTAAAAACTACCATCCTCTTTTTGTACTGTGATTCAGGAAGGATAGGAGGTAGTAGATGGAATTGATTACTGGGTTTGTAAACAGTTTGCTCAGCTGCCTGTGGTAGTTCAAGGGATTCCTTCTGGCCCTATTTTGAGTAACACAAGCCCAAGGAGTTCCTCACTTCCTTTAAGTGCTTTGCCATCTAATAGGTAACTCTCTCAGGAAATTTGCCCCACTGTTCAAATCCATGGTTGGTTAAGATTGGATGGTTAAGATTGTTACTTTCTTCATGACTCCTTGGACCTTTCTAAATTGCTGTTTCTTTGAGATTTTATAACTTGTGAGTAATTTTAATGGCCTGTCACATTCTCTTTAGCCTTTCCCTGCTTTCTAACTCTGCTTTGTTGTATCTGTTTTAGAGATAATGTACAAAAGCCTTTTAATTTTGCTGTTCTTATCCCAAGATACCATAAATAGAGGAAAAGTTTTAATATAAACACTTGAATCAAACTTTCGTTGCAAATTCTATTGTGGACACAACAGATCCTTCACAGATCATTCAGCCTTAATGGAACTATTATATTGACAAGTTTATATTAACCAAATCACTCATCGTTCATTGACAAGAGTAAGAAATATTGAGGCTTTTATAGTCAACTATAAATTTTCCTGTGGGAAAGAGGAAAGGAATTGGAGGTTAATGCAGTCACTTTAAAAAGGAATCTTTTAAATAGCCGTGGTACCGTATTTCTGTGCTGTGCAGAAAGGAGGTCAATGAAAATCTTGGTAGTGATTCCCAGAGTACTTGGCAAGAATCTTATCTTATTAGTCTCTCTGGGAGGGGTTCATGTAACCTAGCTGCAGAAGTCCTAATGTAGACAACTAAAATAAATCCCATGGCTAGTACTGTAGAAGTCTTTTTTTCTCACAGCTGATTGAAAAGGAAGCCTAGACGACTATTTCAAATGGCTAATTCTGTATTGCTGAGTATGTTTCTGTGAATGAGCTAAATCCTACCTGTTTTACCTACAGAATGGATGTTGGGCTTAGATTCAGCAGGCCAACTGTGGCTCTTGTTTACTGGAAGATTCAGTTAATACTTTCCTTGTCAGTCAGATATTTTTTATATTATGGTTGATTTTATCTGAATTATTGATTTCATTGGAAAAAAAACCAGAGCAAAACCACAAGCAAACAAAAAAATGTGAACTCTCCCCTTTCCCCCTCCCCCTGACGTTTCTGATCTAAATCAAACATAAAAAATCTGATTCCTCTCAGAAGAAAACACACACAAATTGTGAAAAAGATTTAGCAAAAATTATGGACAAATTCAACTGTAAGAAACTCAAAAAGCGAAAATTCTGAGACACATTCTGTTTGAGGTAAGAACAATAAGAATTATCTCTAAAATAGAAAATCTGGAGGGTGGGGGGAAATTTCAGGGTTTGAGAGCAGAGTCAAGTGTTGAAAATTTTTAGAGAAGTAGTTCTAAAAAATCAAATTTTGTTGGAGAGAGCAGGGATAAAGGAAAATGTTAAGTCTGCTTTGAGCATACTGATACAAAAATGGAAATGTAAAAGCATTGAGAAACTACAGGAGAATTGGGAGTCATGACTCTCAGATTTCCTTGGGGTTTTTAAATCAGGTGAGATCGATTTCCATGTAAAATCCCAGGTCTTTAAGATCACTCTTGTTGAGCAAAATCTCTAGTCCTCTGGGTCCATTTTGTATTGTAAAGTATCCCAGCTGGGGTCCCAGGGATTCTGACTTTCTGAAAAATTACATACTAGATAACAGCCAATGGTTTTTTGGAAGTCGTCATGATGTTAGCTCTCCAACCAAAAGGTTAAATTTAATTTTACAGGAATTTGTACTGTACTGCTGTTCTAGGTTCTTTATAGTTAATGAACTAAGCTTGCAAGGGTAATTATATATGAATAAATATATGTGAGATATGAAAAAAGAACAGTTAATCTCTGTTTTCAGTAAAGAAAGAAATGACTGGGTGGAACCTGAAGAACTTTTCTTCCTTAGGTCTCTTGCTGTGCTTGTCAGGGCTCTATGTCACAATGAGGACAAGGGAGAAACATTAGTAACTTTACGATTCTTGGTCTTTTTTTTTTTTTATTATTTTTTTAAGCCAACTAAATGAAACAACACCAGCAAAGCAGTAACAAATAAAAAGGCTCCGAGAGCTCTTGGGTTTGCTTCATGTTCCATCAATGTATGTCATTACTGAGAGAATTTTGCCATCTAGTGGACAACAAAACTACCTCAGTTCCAAATTGTACTTATTTACTGTCTTTTCATAGTCTGAGGAGTTCCTTTGAACTCAGTACAGATATTTGTAAACATCGACTTTACGTTTTCATTTTCTGGTTTTCTGTATGACTGTGGAACATCTCTCTGAGGTTTTGGCATGTGCAGATTTTCAGCATTTAGAGCCTGAAGGTTCTGTGCTTCATAAACCAAATAACTGATTTTTTTTACCTTCCATAAGTATTGGTCTATATGGCATGATAAAAATTGAGAAAGAAATTGGACACCTAAAGTTTTTCAGCTTCATTTAAAAAAGTTAAAAAATAAACCACCAATTTAATTTTATTTTTCATTGTGGCATTGTCCCTTTTTTCAGCAAAGATTTTGTGTGTCATTAAAACTACCTCAGGAAAACTTACTTTCTAACCTTGAGAACCTCACATTCTTTTTATTCCTGCTTACACTTTTTTCACAAGGTATTTAATTATGTACCCAAAAAGCATCTTAAACTACGTCTCATATCTTTTGCCCACTTCTATAGCCTAAGTGTTTTGTGTAGGTCACGATTATCTGGTTGTCAAAATGTGTCATCCAGAATGTTTTGAGAAAAGAAGTCGATATGCTGCTTCCATCAAGTTCTGATATACCTTGGGAAAAAAATAGGGATTCATTAATATCAAAACTCTCACTGACTTTAATAGTCAGGACATCTGCAGTTTTCCTAGATTCCTCCCCACCTCTTGAACTAAATTATAAGCAGGAGACAAAGAAGAGAAAGCCCAAGGCATGAATAAATGCTTACTTTTTCCTGTTGGGTGTGAGATTCGTGGGAAATGGTCTCTAATTTTGCCTTTGCCTCCTCTGTATTAAAGCAGTCTGTCTTCCTTATATAAATCTTAAACTGCCCACTCAAAAGTCACCACAACCTGCAGATGTTTAGCCCATGGCTTTCACACTGTGATCTTGCCCTGAGGCCACTCTGGGAATGCTTTTCTGTTCCTCCCTTGCCCATGGCAGTTCAGAGTATGTACTCTCTGTTGCCTCTTGGTGACTATCTATAAGTCTATGTTGAAACTTTGTATTTTTATAATTAATGGTAAACTTGCAAGTAGTACCATTACTGTATTCAGTGTGTGTGTAAACCCCAGAGTATAAACCAGAAAAACTTATATTGCTCTGTAGGCATGGAGGGGGAAACACTTTCTGCAGAAAGGTCACTCTGAGGCAAAATTAACCATCTAGAGAACTCTCATCTCCAGTCCAACATACTCAGGATTACAGTTACTAAGGAAAGATCAGGAAGCAAGGATAAGTTAACTTCGTGAAATAGAAAAACTATTTTCCCACTTTCCTGTATTTTATTTTAAATTATTTAGGGTTCATTCATTAGACCACATCCTAAACATTTCAGTGTTTGGTGCTGATAGACTTTACTGTGATCAAGCTGTATTAGGCTGCTGGTCTCTGAGACTAGCTCAGGAACTTGCATATCTCCTGGTGTTGCAGAAATGAGTTTGCTCTTCTGTGAGCAAAATGAACATGTTCAGAACCAGGCACGTAAGAAAATAAGAGTAGGAGGGGTGATGTTGGGTTTTTTTCTGTTTGTTTGTTTTAGGTTTTTCATAAGCTACTTAGTTTCAGTGAATTAATTTTTTACCAACTTTCTTTTCTATGTTAACACCTGAGGCAAAGTGAAGAAAGAACCTTCTGTTGTGATTAATCACAGAAAGTTGTTGTTCTTTCTTTGTAACTGATGATCAAAGAATCTGAAAAACAGACATGTCTCCTCCTTGTTGTCTTTACACCCAGAAAACATGGCTTGATAGAAAACAAACTCTCTAGATGAGAGGACCTGTTCTGGTTTATGCTCTTTAATAACATTAGAAGTAGACTCTCCCTGTTTAATAAGCATTTCTTGAAGTAACATCACTGTTTGATTTAACTACTAGTACTCCTAGTCAATTGGTACAGTAAAACCAACCACTAATCCAATATTATATGGACAGCTGAATTGTTAATTCCGGGATGTGAATTTTGTCTTAATTTGCTCCCTAAAAATAGGATGAATTGTGAAAGGTTTCTTTCCAAGTGTTTCAGTTTCAGGTAGCTGGTGTTTTTACTGAGACATATATTACATATTCAGATATATGTTTCTTCAGTCTTCATTCCTTATCGATGCATATGGTTTAATGGAACTCCCCCAAGCAGCAAAGAATTAGTTCTGTGTGGTTTTCCGTTTGGGGTTTTTTGTTGTTTGTTCATTTCCTTATATTTTATGATTTTTCTTTTGTATTCTGCTTTTATCTGTTCCCAGTTGTTATTTTGGTGAAGTGACTTCTGTTTTTTCTTTAGATTCTTTGGTTAAAACACTGTATTCTTCTTATGTAATTGTTTAGGGTAAGTGATGAAAAAGATGCTCGAGGTTATCTTCAAGCCTTGGCCTCTAAAATGACAGAAGAGCTGGAAGCCCTGAGGAACTCCAGTTTGGGTGCAAGAGCTACAGTAAGACTTTACTTCCATATGTCAGAGGCTTTTTTGTTTGGAAAAAAACCACTAATTTGATAGTTTCAGCTGCAGTAATAATCTGTCTGTAGAGTCTGTTTTAATCAAAAGTTAAACTTTCCTATTCTCTTCTGAATAAACTGAATAGCAAATTGATTCTTTTTCAATTAATTAAATACCAATATATTTTAATGTGATTTTGTCTATTATATTGTTCAAGTAGCTACTTTATAAATGTATATGAATTTGTTGAAGGAAATAATATTTTGGTTCATGAAAACCTTCAAGACTTTCACTTTTGAAATGTGAATGTCCTTTGTAGCTGTCATTTGAATTGAACCACATCAAAACTAGAATTCATAAAATCTCTTTGCTTTTGAGATCAGCATAAAGGCAACATTCATCTTGCCTATATATTACTGGAGTTCAAAAATAATACTACTACTAACATTCTTGGTGTACTCTTAATTTTTAATTTTATATTACTTTGGAATTAATGAACTCTTATGTTAAGCACGTAATAGACTGAGAAACGAAGTTGTTGAAGTTAGCTTCGTTCTTCATTTTCAGCTTTCTTTACGCTTACTCTTTCTTCTCCCTTTTTTTATTCTTTACTAGGACATGCCCTGGAAGATGCGCCGCTTTGCAAAACTGGATATGTCTGCAAGGTTGGAGCTCCAGTCTGCTCTTGATGCTGAAATCCGAGCCAAACAGGCTATTCAAGATGAGTTGAACAAAGTCAAAGCTTCCTGTATCTCTACAGAGTGGTAAGACTGAGTTGCTCTGATGCAAATTTACTTTGATACCTCTCAGGAAATGCCATTAAATCATTGTTTGTAACTATCTTGTCTGTCAAAATTTGAAAATTAATGATCACTCTAGTTTCAAATATCCAAATGTGAAAAAAGACCATATCTCTCATCAGTATGTGAGTAGCTGAACACCAACTGGGGAAAATTGAAATCTTGAAGACTTCCAGAGGGGACACTTTCTTTTCAGTAATATAATCTCTCCTCATGGTGATAACAAGTTCAAATCCAAGCAGAGTTTGGTTTTGTGTCTTAGAACATACTCTTTTCCATTCCATTGATAGCTGCATTGGGTTAGCTGACTAAAATCAGTTATTGCATAGTGATTTGCACAGTAGTAACTAATAATGGCTATAGAATATTATGAATTCTTTTATTCCTTCCTCAGACTCTTTTCCACCCTGTCACCCTCACATCCCAACAAAATGTATTCTGAGTTGGGTGGATGCCTGAAGCAGGGATTGGTAGGGAGTCATTCCATTTCTAGGTGTCTAGCTCAAAGCACTGCTGTGTTTTGCAGCTCTAGGGAAGCAGTTGGACAGAGCTGAGATTCAAGTATGTTACCTGTAAAGTGGGAACACCTAGTCCACATACCTTGCTTGTTTTTCAGGCCAGGTAACGTGATGACAGGCAACATTAGAGATCCTCTAAGAACAGGAGAACCAGTTTTTGCTTTGATAGGCAAGAGTGAGAAAAGTGCTCAAAACACATAGTAGTGTTACCTATCAGCTGCAAATTGGATAACTCTTAAGTAACTGAGAAAAAAATAGTTCAACTTAATCTGTTAGTATCACAGGCACTGAATTAAGAAACAAATTTAAAAGCCCTAAGATTTTAAGCATAAAAATATATGTGGTCTTTTTTTCTCATTTACAGGATACAGGCTCACACAATTATTTAGAAATTAGAAACACAAGCCTGTTTAATGGGTAAATGGGAACATTTAATTGCCTTTTTTCTGTTTTGTTTGTTTTGTTTTTTTTTTTGTAAGATACCATACTAAACAGATCCCAGTAGATTTCTGAATTCATTCTGGTATTTGAAGACATCATGAACCTTGCTGGGCATTAATTTTTAAATAGCATGCAAAGTTGGACAGAAAAAAGTGGTTTCTCAATACCTACGTAAGTTTTTTGTTTGTATTCTTTTGAAGTAAATTGCAAGAATCTGAGAAGAAGAACATGGAGCTGTTGGCAGATATCGAAAGGCTGAAAAAGGAGACAGAAGAGCTTAGATCAGAAAAGGGTATGGCAGCTGATATCCAAGTAAATAGCATGTTTCACATTGGTTGGGTACATCTTATCAATTAAGTTCACCTTGCAACTAAAATATGATACCAACAGACTTTGGCATACAAAGTATGAGCACAACAATTGTATGTTAAGATGTACCCACAGCAGTTGCGTTTGCACTTTCAGTGTTTGTAATATGCTTCAGTTTTGTTGATACACTTACACCAGTAAGGTATTATTTGAGTTGGAACTGTGTTGTTTTCTTTTGGCACGGGTATGTTGATTTACTGCCAGAAAACTGTTAGAAGTATAGATATATTTCTAATTTTTTCTCCTTTTTGATGGGTGAAGGTATTTAGACTTCAATACTGATAATTTATAAATGTTTGGGGTCTGTCTACCCAGAGAGTAAATGACTACAGAGGAATTTTTAGCATTTATTTGTTTCTGGGATGACTTTGTTGATGTAAGCACATAGTGAGAAGTGTGGTCACGATTACTTTGCTGTGGTATTAAGAGTATGTTCTGAGATTGCTGATGCATCTGACTAACAGTATTTTGCATTGTTGCTGGGAGAAGAGACTTTTTTGGTAATTCTACAATGAAAAAAATTTCATTAAGAGATGATTAATGATTTGGCTGATTCTTTGCAGTTTCTGTAGTAGCTCTAATATTTGTATCTTATGAGTCACATGGGAAGAAGTATTTTTCAGGCCAAATGGAATTACCTAATTTTCTGTAGGGAACTGTTTGAACTTCAGAATTTCAATACCCTGGCAACAATTGCTGCATAGGGATGACAAATATTGTTCAGACTTTACAACCTAATGATATGTCAGTCTATAATGTATTGTACTTAACTGTCATTTTCTATATATAGACCTCCAAATGCTGGTTGACTTGTAAAAATAGTTCAAACCTATACAGAATATTAAAAAATTACTGGGGCCAATTAGCAAATAATTCTTAGGGAATTGATATTTTGTTCATCTTGATGTTTAGCATGGATACCAGGATTATGCTTCTTCCAAGTGTTTGGAGAGAAGCTCTTGTTAGCATCTCCCTGGAGACAAAAATACTTTGTCATGCTTAACTTTCATTTATATGTTCTTGAATTATCTTAAATATTATGCATGGTTACTCGAGTTCTGAAATCTTCTTTTGTGTTAAATAATCTGTTATGAATTTATAAGTAATACTTTACCCTGTATTTTTTCCAGTATTTAAAATCTTATTGTTTTGGTGAAAACAGAGATAAACATTTATTCTTTTTTTTAAACAAGGAAAAAAAAATATATTTCTTCTTCTTAGGAGGCAAAATATATGTTTGAATCATGAATTGTATAGAGGATTCAAATGTAGACAGTGTACAGTGGTAGAGTAACTTATAGTGTGTAGAAATTTATTTCTAGGTAGGGATTGCTTGGGTTAGCACTTGAATCCTTTTCTCTTTATAAAGATATTCCAGAAATTTAGCAGGTGGGGAAAAAGATTGCTAAAAATTATCATCAGTAACAGGTAATTTGAAAATTGTTTTTAGTATTTTTGGGAGGGATTTCAGTGTATTTACATTTTAAAGAGGAAACGGTTCTTGTAACCTCATCATTCACTATGGATTATATTAGAGCAAGACACTGACATTTTTTGAAAGAAAGAAGTAACCTTTGATAGCATTATTCTTTTGAGATGCACACAGTCCTGCAGGCTTTGGTCATAATAAGTATTTATATATATGTGTATATAATGCATTTACAGCATTCAGGAAGATAGAGTTTGTACACATCTGTGATCTAGAAACACCCACACAGCAACTTGAATTATGCCCCAAAGAAAAGAAGAAAAAAAAGCTGTGAGTTGAAGCTAGTTAAAGTAACAGGCAGGATGTGCCAACCTCTGCAGCTCCAGGGGATGCAGCATTCCTGCTCCTCTTGCTGGCTGAACATCACTTAGATGATGCTGTGTGACAGAGACGTTTGAAGCTTTACCCAGGGTTGTATTACTCCTGGGCATTCAGCAGTGAGGGGTGGCAGACTGGCATAGAGCATGGATCAAGGAACCCATCCAATGTTTTCTGGATGTTTTTATGGAACCTGGCTGTCGGCTCCAACTGTCCTGTCATTGTAGGATATCCCACATGTGACTAGAGCAGGGATGGCACCTGCTGCATTAGCGTGTGGTGCCAGTGGGCATATAAGCACATTAGAAACCGGTGCATGTACATACAGTGTGTTTTCACACTGAACTCATACCACACAGACATCTTAGCTTGGAAAAGGTTAATTAAACATACACTTCTATGTTTCAAACAAGAAAATCTTTTACTGTGGAAGACAGACCAAAATGTGCAACATGTTTTAAAACGTGTAGGTGTTTCAGGTGGACACTCAAACCCTGATTCAGCAAGGCAAAGGTCCTCCATGAAAAAGTTATTTTTCTGTAGCTTAAAAACCTGCTGCTGTTTTCTAGGTGTAAAGCACCAAGACTCACAGAATTCTTTCTTGGCATTTTTGAATGCGCCTACCTCTGCTCTGGATCAATTTGAAGTAAGTGTTACAGCTGTTTTAACTCTGTTAGTCAGTGGAACTACTGATGTGTGCAGGTTATGTGCATATTTGCTGAGAGTTTGCTGCTGTATTTTAATTGTATTTCCCCATTTATACTTGTATATAATAATATGTGAGAACTGTTTGTCATTTACAGTGCTGGCTGCCTTCTCTTGAATGCTAGTAATCATAGTGAATTCTCTCTCAAACCTTGAATGCAGAAATTTGTCTGATTTTGTGGTGAACATGAAAAGCGTAGTTGTTCAAATGGCTTTTCTTTGTATTCAGAAAAATACCAAGTAATACAGATTGTGGTTTGATAAAAATGAGAGAAAATATGTAAATAATCCTTGATTGTATCCTCTGAAGTCCTTGATACTGTTTATTAGATTGTTTTCATCGTCTGTTCATTTTACACAGATCTGTAAAATCCAGATAACTCCTATTCATTTATCTCCTCTGCACAGATCCTATATACTTAAAAAATGAATTTGTTTTTTACCTTTGTCACTTTTAGACAGAGGATCAGTTTAGGTAGAAACCTGGAAGAAAAAAATTGAAGCAATGCTGTACATTTATTTTCTTCTTTTTTTAATCAAAAGTAAGCCATGCATAATTTTTCTTTTAAAAGAACAGCTGGGATGAAATATTGGTCAAACTGAATTCAGAGGGGACAAGGCACCACCTTTATAGTTGTCTAAAGTTTGCCCATTTTTTCCTGATGCATGTACAAGCTCATTACATGTAGCTATAGAAGGGCATAATCACTCATGTTACTAATATCCCAGAATGTGCTTTCTTTTCATTATCTATTCATTAATTCATTGTTCTCTCTTGAAGTCCTCACAATTAACACAATTTTTAAGTTTTCTTTTTTATCATTTATCTTATAAGTTACTTTCAGTATAAGAATCTTCTTGGAGTATAGGAGTATTATTTTATTGAGTGCTGGAAAAACACTGGGTTTTTTAAAGGTAGATTATTGATTAATTGTCTATGAAAGACAATTAATGAAAACTTACTGAGGTAACTGTTACTGCCACTAATTATTTACAGTTCTTTAGTTTTGCAATTTTATTTATATTGCACAGCTTTCTTCATCCATCTCTTTCTCTCTCTCTCTTTTTTTACTGCTGTTTTCATTAAAATAGGATTCCTTTTCCTCCTCTTCATCCTCATTGATTGATTTTATGGATGACGTAAGTCTGACTTTCAACCCAGTAAATCCCTTAATAACGGATGAGTTGATTGGTTTGGAATATTCAGACATTAATGCAGTCAACTTAAAAAATCTGCAAGTGCAGTGGAGAACAGAGTATTTCTGTAATAGCACACTTACATCTATTTATACATATAGATGTTCCATTTTAAGCTAGATGTTTTTCTTTAGGTGCAGGTGAAGAATTTTTAATTGCAAGGAGTTTTCCTGATGGAGGAAAGCTGCTTTTAGGCCTTATTTATTGATATGGCCTGTGGAAAATGGTCCCAAAATCACTGGCACATTTATTTTATTTTATTCTATTGCTTCATATTATTCCTTTATCATTAGTTGTTTCCAAAAGTTTTCTAATCACTTCAGTTAAAGTCTTTGCCTTGCATACAGTTAATTTCTGTTTGCTCAAATAAAATATTGTTTCTTTTTTAGCCTATATTGTGAGAAGTAATTTTCATTATAACTGAGATGAACTTACTACTTTTTATTGCCATTTGAGGTGCAGGTTTTCTGTCAGGAGAGTTTAAATTTTTCGACTAGTTAATCGCATACTAAGAGAATTAAGTTAAAAGCTGAAAATTGACTGCATTATATTTCTCCCAAACTGAAATATTAGGCACATAAAAGTAATTAACAGTAAACTTTTTGAAATCAAAGTATATACTATGCATCCATGGTAGACACCCATCCATTACAACTTTGTAGGTATATTGTGTGTGTGTGTGTAAGTTTGTGTGTGCTTGTATATTTATTTTTGCACACATATTTATACATGTGTATTTAACATAGTGTAATCCTGTTTGCATTGAAATATAATATAATTCATTTTATTTGAGCAATATCTGCTGTGAAGGGTGTAGCAAAGAGGATATAGTATATGGGCCTATTCTACTGCTTTCATTTTCTTTCACTTTGAAAGAATGCTTTCTTTCTGGATGCTTTTTCTCTGTAAGTCGGGTATATACCCTAGACAAAATGTGAAGATAAATCTGTGGTATCACAGAAGACATTTGTCTGCATTTTTGGATAGCAAAGTTTGGGCTTCCTGATATTGTTGGAATTTTCTTACACAATAAAAAAAAGAGTAGAGTTTCCTGTCATGTAAACCCACAATAAATGAATAATATTTATATCATTTATCTGGATTAAAGAAGTGTTCTATGTTACCTGAATATTAGGAACTCTTAGTTTGTATCAACAGGTTCTTTCATAGAAAGGTACCTTTAAGAATATCTAAAACTCTATCCTGAAACCTGTACATATGTGGCAGAGTAGCTGATAATGTTTTATTTTTCAAGAGGAAGCTTAGGACGAGAATATTTTCCTGGTTGCTATCTAATTAGTTTTGAAGGACTTCAGCACTTAATTCTGTATTTATTGTTGGTTGGGGTTTTTTTTAAAGAAGGCAGCATTTCTTTTCCACATGCATTTTGACAAAATTACATTTTTTTTTTTCTGTGCAAACGAGTAGTTTTCAACTATTGCTGTACATCCTTTAAGAACAATTCTTGATTGGTCCACCCAGATCAAATCTTTGCAGATACCCACCTTTTAGTCTGGGGTACAGTTTCAGGTATTAATGTGTGTACTGTTGTATGGAGATGTTTTACTACACATGGAGTCAAATTCCCCATTACTTCTTCAATTTGAGTGTTTGTTCTCAGTTGCATTTGTTAGAAATAAAGCTGATATCTGCATTAGTAGGGGAAAGGTGGTATCATTCACTTGTGCTTAAAGTCACTTCTGTATATTTAATTTATTGGACAATTGCTTGATTCATTCATAGATATATATTCTCCGAATTATCAAAATGAATGGTTATTCATGATTTAGCTCATTGAGTTGGTTTAGTATCAATATATTAGATGGACTTAAATCAAAATAAGGGTACTAAAAATCCTTACCCACTGAATGTGACCTCCATTCCCTTTCCAATGACTCTTTTTGATAGTAGTTGCTTTGAAGGGCAGCGCTTCTTGCAGCATCTCCAGAAGAATTGATTTGTGCTCGGTCAAACCTCAGAAGTGTGTTGGTTCTTTATGTTAAGACCAAGGAAGAATTAGAAGTCCTCAGATCAGACTCATGCAGTGCTGCAATATTGCATGGGTTTCAGGAAAGCCTCTCTTTTAATCAGGAACCCGAAGTAAATATTAATAATGGCCTGTATTGTTTCTTCAGACTCTGTGCTTCATTAAAAAAGGACAAAGAGTGTGCAAAATTATGTGCAGTTGCAGTTACAAGGCAGTCTTTGTGAGGTCTCTGAAGTCTATTTAGCATGTAGACGTGTACACAGTACTGGGATTACTAGAGTGGGCACGTCTTGTGTGTTTGCCATCCAAATAATGTAACTATTTATAGCACTCTGTGAATGTCTGGAGTTAATTCTAATTTTCTCAACGAGGAAAACAGTAGTTTTGCAATTTCTACTGGAGAGAAATAAAAATAGATGTCCTGCTGACTTTGTAGCCTGCAGATGCTGAGCGAGAAGTGGTAACTCACTGTTCGGATGAGTAGCAGTCACTGTTGGTTCCAGCTGTCCTGCCTTGAAAAGATACTTGCTCAGGTTGGCAGAACTGGTGCCTAAATCCTCAGAGCTGTGGAAGTCCACACATTCAAAAATGACCCTTGTGTCTCCTGTGCACAGCAAGGGGAGTAGGAATGACTTCTGCAGTCTCTGGTTACTGATTTTGGTGGAGAGGGAAGTCACCCGCAGTGACTCTAACAGACTCATCTCTAAATCTCTGCTGCTGTTTCTCCTGTGTGTTTCAGGCTGTCTCTCAGTAACATCGTGTAGGTGTTAAGTCTCCTATGTTCACTAGAATTGTCTGATAATGGAAGTGTTGGGTTTTGTTTCTTTGCCAGATGCATCTTTGTGTATCTCACTAGCTACTACAAGCAGTCCACTTATTTTATTTAAGGATGAATTTGTGATTATTTAATAATAATAAAATGGAATCCTACTTTCCCTTGACAAAATTATTTTTCCCCACATGCTCAAAGAAACTATTTTTTCCCTAACACATTACAAAGTTCTTAAGTCCTCCTGCATTCTGTCCTCACATGCAGTCCTCATGGGCTTTAGTTAGACTAAACAAATCTGAACTTCGTAAATAGCCACAGAATAAATGATGTTCTGAATTCTTAGTATTGAGCAGAATAAGCCACAGTAGTGTATGATGAGAGCTTTGACTTTAGCTGCACATTCATAATGAAGTTTAGAGTAAATCTGGTTTGTAATGATGCTTTAAATTGGACGTATTGTACCTCCAATAGATTACTTCATTCATCTAGTTTCAAAGCACAGAGATGCAACTTAATAGTGCAACGTAGTCTGCAGTTTCCCTGCTATTATCCTGTGTAAAACTACAGGCTTGAAATAGTGGTTCCTTTTTCTATGTTTCTTCCCTCTTTTTGCCTCATAATATCTTGGTTTTTAAATACTTGTAAAAATGAACATGTTTGTGTGTGTCTAAACACTATCTCTGGAGATACAGAGCGTGGAATTCTGAGGCGATGTATGTGTCAACTGTTCAGTTTTGTAACATATTCTCCTTTCTTTGTTAAAGCGCCCTCCTTCCTGTATTCCAGCTAACAAAGGCAGACGTGTAAGAGGCTGTCTTACTCTATGTGGCCCTTTATTTTTTGCCTGTTGTGTCCATGCCTCTGTTTAATGTATGGATTGTGTATTTACCTCACTGCATGTCCTGTGCTGCTGCTGCTGTTTGCTGCTGCTGCTGCTGTGCTTTTTGTTGTTTTACAGCTGTGAGCTAAAAGCTTTTGGAGTATTTCATTTGATAATCCTGTGAGCAGAATATCACAGTAACTGGAGAAGATGCTTTGGGTGCTTTCTCATTTCAGCGTGAAAGTTCTATGTGGAAGCCGATCAGGTAGATGTGGTTTGGGAAGATGAGCAAACATCAAATGAGGACCTGTTTATTTCCTTGCCTTTAGCAGAAGGCATGTGTTAAGTTATGGAAATTGCCTATAAAAGGCGAAAGTTTGACATTTGGGAGGCACATCACAGCAAATGATAGAAAATATCACAGTACAAAGATAAATAAATGTGAAGTAGAGAACTGAGTAAGTAGAACATCAAGGAGGGTAGGAAAAACTCATGCAGGGAAAACAGAAATGGATGTGTTGTAGTTGGTTAATCTGGAAAAGTCTTTGGTGTTTCAAAAATCATGATGGGTTTTTAAACATTTGTTCACATGTGTTATCAGAGGTTTGTCAGACTTGAATTCGCACCAGGTATGTTATGTCCATTTTAAGCTCATACTGCCACTTTTATTCCTTTATACACATATGGTGGTAGGAATAAGTAAGTATACAAAGCATTTACACTGAATGTTAAATAAATAAGCAGTATTGACCAACAGCTCCAATAGTGTCCTTACCCAGGCAGTTCAAAGCACACCACTCAGTGTCTTAGGCAAGCTTACGGTAACTGCTTATTTTTGTTGGCGGTGCCTCCTGTTCAGGAGTTCCCTCTCCTCAAGATGTGCTTATACACTGACCAGCTTCGTCTCAGACCTATACAGGTGACTCATGTAGACAACTATGCACAGTCCTGTGGAAGACAGCAAGGCTGTTACAATTTGGTAGGAAATATTGAAGTCTGCTTTTGATAATCTAGTGGGTTTGTTTAAAACCAATTTGAATGGTGTTAACACTGTTTTTGTAAACTGTTGACCATAGTTGAATCACATTGCTTTTGTACTTAGTTCTTCTCATTAAAGCAAGGAACCTGAGATCAGTGCAGCAATACAGCTTAAGGCCCTGTTCCTGCAGCAAAGGTGGTGGTTAAATTCTCTTCAAATTCTGTAATGGTAGATCAGGTTCCGTGTGTTTTGCAGGCTTTCTATGTTCGTAAGTAAAGTAAAAATACATTTGTTGCTGTTTCAGCAGTTGTCTTCAACCACAAAGGCTTTGTAGAACATTCCAGAAAAGTTCCATCATTCATATCAAGCTTGTACTAAATTTTTTTCACAGACACCATGAAAATTCTTTGGTACGCAGATGCTACTTTGAAAGGGAAAGCTTGAAGTATCTGGAAACATTTATGAAATGATAGATTAGATCTCTGAATTTAAGTTGCAGAAAAAAAGGAATGTCTGTTTCTTGCTATGAAAAAATTTGCCTGTAGTTACTCACTGGGCTTATTTTTTGGTAACATTTTTAAGGAGAAGGTAGAATTGTAGAAGGTTAAACAGTCTTTCAGTGGGCTTCAATTTATCACATGTTTATCCTGAATTAAAAAAAAAAAGTTTAAAATAATTAAAACATGTTATGTGTTTGGGGATTTACTAGTTAAGGCATCTAAGTTTCTAATACTGGGTAAAACTTTCAATTATTATTTGCTTCTGATAAATCTGAGCACAAAATGTTTGCTTTACTGCTAATTTTTGCCTCAGTGCTTGAAACACATGATCTATGCGTAGTAAACAGGTGTATCCCAGTGTAAGAATTTCCCATTTTCATTTCAGAAATACTCACAGGCATGTTAATATGCCTAGGTTGATTAAACTGATGAACATTCTCCACCTGATAATTTTTTTTTGAAGGCTACGGTAAAACTAGAAGACACTAAACTTATAACTCACTGCTGTTAAAAAAACTAAAAAATACTAGCAACTGCACCTGTTCGCTACCGTGATTGAGTTTCTGGAGAACAGGACTGTGTATGCATGTATTAGATCGGCTTGGCAATATATCTGACTCCCAAAAAGCGGTAAAGTTTGTGGAATTCCTACTATTGTCAGTGGCAAACAAGATCAAAAACACTGGAATGTTCAAATGCTTCCTGTAAACATTGCTGCATATTTTAGTTTGTCTGCAAGCTAGCCTGATCCTTGGCAATGGAGAGCTGATGATAGCATTGCTGCAAAAAATCCAGGCATGCCACAGAGCCTTCTGGAGGCCTCCAGCTTTTAGCCTTATTATTAGTGGAGAAAAGCATTTTCACCTTTCTTTTTTTTTCTTTTACATATACTTTTACATAGAAAACTTTGTGAAGAGGTCTTGTTTTCAAGGGAGAATTGTACCTTCTCTAGTTTTTTCAGTTGAACTAAAAAAAGATGACTTGTTATCCAAGATACATGTTTGTACCTATATGCCATGTTGTTCAGCGTAGCTCTGTGTTGGGCTTAGTTTCATTGTATATATCAAGGACTAAGAAAATATTCCCCTGAAGAAACTGTATTCCTGATAAGGATGTTTTTGTAGTTCAAATGGAGTACAAAACCCCCTCAGTTCTGTATAAACATAATTAACACTAGCCTCAGGAAATACACTGTTTACTCTGTCTTTTCTCCTTGTTTTCTCCTGAATATGTTTACAGTAATTTATGTGGTCTATATGGGAATTCATTTCTAACAAATCCCTACTACCAGTGGACAAAACCCGGTAGTGTTTAGAAAATATTCACCCTTTAAAAATGCTGAATTACAGGTCTCTTCGAGTGTTTGTCAGGCCTCTGACCTAGCAGCTCTTATGCATGTGCTCACCTCTCAGCAGAAGCCTTGGCGTGTTTGTATTCCACAATTTTCATTGCATTTTTGTGTTTTTAATTAGGAAATTGCTTAAAACTGAATTTTTATCCTCTCAGTTCTCTCTTAGGAATCTACTGCTCCCATATCTTATTTTGGTAAGAGTTGAGAATTCTTTTTTAGCAATGTCTTTGATTTATTTCTTTGGTTGTTGTTTTTTCTCTTGAATTGTTCTCCTAGATTGATTCAGTTGAGAATTTTACATTGTCTAATACTCCGTCACGGGATGAAGATAGCAAGTCTCACCTCCATTCAAGATCAAGGTCTCCTTCTACAGCTAGTGAGATTGAGCCAATCGAGGTACTTCACTGTTTGAAAAATCTGCCTTTATTTTAGGAGTAACAACTTCACTTGTATAAAAATTACTATTGCAAATCCTTTTGTTTAGGATGAAGCTCACTCTTCTGCAGCAAGACTATTTAGGACCTTGTAATAGCCTTCTGCACTAGTGGTGAACTGTATTTTGAGGAATGTTGAATTCCCTTTCACATATGGTTAATTGAATAGGGATGGAAACTATATTGAATCAATTACTAGTTATAATCTCTCTTCATAACATATCCTCAGTCAAATATCCTCAGAATATTTAAGAAATGTTGGCACAAAGATACTGTTATACTGTAGTTTGTAAAAGCAGACTTTGGAGTCCTGCTGAAAGTCTTGTTATTAAGAAATATTGGCCAAACTCTGCAACAATAACAATCTATCCCCTTTCCCTATTAAAAAATTTAACTCTGTAGTTATTTTACATTAGAAAATATCCAATCAAATGCTTAAGATAATACAAAGTTGGTTTTGACATTTAGGAGATCAATCTTGCATGTTGTTTTGCTGAGAAATGGGATTTGGTTTTCCAAATCCTTTCCTGTGTTAATCAGTTTGGTTTTGTGGCTTGTGTGCTTGGGGATGGGGTGGGTGGGACAATGTAGTCTTTTTCCTTTATTCAGACTATCTTGGATAGTGTGCGCTTGCTGTCTTACTGATCCTTTGGGGACTGTTTTCAGGTTACAGATCATCCTCCCCGTTCAATGCACACACCGACCATGAGGACAGCATATATTGGATCAGGACTCTCTGCACCAAAGGTATTCTGTCAAGCACTCACACTCTTTATGTAGGAAGGGGGTAAATGTCACTCCTGGGCCACAGCTTCATGAGAACTGTTTATCACACTAATCTGACCAGAACTGCCTACAAAGGTGGTTTATGTGCAAACTGGTTGCTTTCTAAAATTTAAAACCCCTCATTCTTACATGATGGAGTGTGACAAGTTACACTAGGAATTCCACTGTAGCACTACACAGGCGTTTGATTATAGGAAAAATGGTAGTCTGGACATTAGAAAGAGATAAATGAGCCAGAAAATGAAGAAAGGAAAATAGGTATCCTAGGAAGAGAGTGTTTTCTGACAAACCTGCCTGTGTATGCTCTGCATACCATAAAACTGGTGTCACTGCAGGCCAGTCTCGGATTATCACGTCTAATTAGATAATTAGATGCTTGGTTTTGAGAAAAGGCAAAAAGTAAGCCTAAGAATGAAACCATAGATTGGCATTTTTATGAGCATTGTGGAGTGAGCACTACAGCCAGCACTGCAGCACTGGGCTGGAAGAAGGCTTTCCAGTTTTTCTGGGTTTTTACTTGCATAAGTACTGATTTTACTTCAGTTGTTGAAGTCATGTTGCTGTTGGCCAAGTAAGTCAGTCAGTATATGCTAATTCCCAGTGAATTATGTATCCCAGTGGATTATGTATATTCAAGGAAATGTGGAGTAAGATATAAGCTATGAAAGGAAAAATTTTCTCATTAAAGTTTTGGAAGTGGTTTAAGAATCTTCTGTGTATTTTAAAAAATGACAGTTTTTCTGCAACTAATCAATGAAGTAAGTAAGCAAGCCTTTCTAATAGATCTCTTTCTCTACTTTGATAAATTGCAAAGTAGCAAAAGATTCATTTGTGTAAAGGAAAAGCTAAGTAGTTTGAGCAGACAGTGTTCTGTTGGCAGTGTATTAGTAGATCGATTAAAAAAAGTGCACTTGGAATCATGTGAAACAGATTTTACTCTACACATAATTTAATTTTTGCAAACATTTTACTCAGTAAGTAATGATTTGCTTTACAATTTATTATGTCCACTAAAGAACCTTTTTACTTTTTGATTGCATAAGTTTTTAAAGCTAAGTATTGTTTCCCTGCAAGTTTCAGTACAAGACATCCATCTCTAGACAGAAAGCTTCCATTGTAACAGTAAAGCTGTCATTAAATGTGGATAAGTTTGAACCCTTAGCTGTGATACCTTACACTGCGAAAAACAGGAAAGTGAGTAAAATTTTAACGTACCTACTCATTAGTCTGCAAAATTGTCTTATTTCAGATCATGCACATTATCCAGGTTTTTTGGACAGTCTTTGCGTTCACCCTGTGCTCTGTCCTTTCTCTACCAGTAGCTACTTGGCTGGAATTTTATGTAGAAAGGCAAAGTAGCTTCCTGGATTTTATATAAGGCCTTTTATGAATCATACTGTCACATTACGTAGTCATTTAGCCTTTGTATAGTAGCATCAGCACGACCATCCTTGTGGAGAGAGAGAGAATTAAACCACTTACTCATGTAGTCTGTGTTCCCAAGGAATAACAGCAAGATAAGACCTTTCAAAATCAACTTCATCTATCAACTTCAACCCTTGCTTTTAAATTGTGTGTTCTGAAATTGCCTCTGCCAGACACCATAAAACTGAAATCTGTCATGCTTTCTGGCATAAAATATGGAATTTTTAAGAAGTTTGCTCTTTTTCTTTTAACTAAGGCAACACCCCTTACAGAGGAGCACTAAATTTGCAGCTTAGAAAGTACTGTTGTGGGTTGACCTTGGCTGGCAGCCGGGTGCCCACCAAGCACATACATACACACATTCAATTTCTAGAGTGTAGTGGAATCATTTTGGCAGCTTTCCTATCTGCAATGGAAGCAAAATCATGTTCTTAGGCAAGGTCCAGTTTCCATGGTTTTATTTACAAAGGATGCTTTAAATAATCAACAACTAGCACTGATAAGGCATTTTTTCAGCCCAAGTGTTAGGAGCTCAAATTTCATTTTAGCAAACACAAACAAGCTGCCTTTTTAAATGAACCTATGCACTCTTACGTCTGTGAAAAAAATATCTGTTCTTCAGAGGTGTTACAGGTGTTAACATCCTTGTCTCCTTGTTTCACAGCCTAAAGCCCACCAGTTTGTAGTGAAGTCGTTCAATACACCAACAAAATGCAATCAGTGCACATCTCTGATGGTTGGTTTAATACGACAGGGCTGCACTTGTGAAGGTAAGCACTTGTGAGAGCACGGAGTGTCGACTAAAGTTCTTACAGATGCAAATGACATGGTAAATGTTGTAGCTGGTCATGCAGGAACCTTCTGTTTATATTTTGAACAACAAAATAGATTCTCATGCTCTTCCGTCTTTCAGCAATAGAAACCAAACACTTCAGATATCTTACCTAACAGATTACCTGGGGACACACTTATTCCAGTTGGTGGTAGAAGAGCTTAGTTCAGTTTACTTAAAATAGCAATAAGGGACCACAGTCAGTGGTCAGATATGCCGACAGCAGCTTTTAGCTTTCTGTTGCAGGGCAAAATTTAAGACACCTATTCGGATTTATTCTAGAAGGAGGCAAATTGGTACTGAATGGCAGTTATTCTGCCTGCACGTACACAGAATGACACTCATTATTTAGAGGATGTTCCAGCATTTAGTTTACTAGTAGAGTTGGGCCTAGAGGAAATCACATAGATTATCTTAGACTCCTTCTTACCTGGATGAAACCAGACTGTGTATCCGTAAACTATCTGAACATGAGAAAAAAGATTTAGAGCAGATAAAAGCATGAGCTGCTGCTCTGTGCAGACTTCTATTTCTGTCTCACTGTAGCATAGTTCAATGAGACTATTCAGATGTTGGTCAGAAAAAGAGAGGTTTCCTATATCTTTATCATAACTATATCATCATCTTTATCATAACTTTTGCATCACACAAGAAATAACTGTCAAATCTTTTTGTTTCTTCTCCTCCTCACAAGTATGTGGATTCTCTTGCCACGTGACCTGTGCAGACAAGGCTCCTGCAGTGTGTCCCATCCCTCCTGAACAGACTAAGGGACCTTTGGGAATAGATCCACAGAAAGGCATAGGAACAGCTTATGAAGGACATGTCCGAGTAAGTGTCAAGTAGCTGCATTTGAGGCACCAAGGTTAAATTCGTTGTTTTCTGGAGCTGGAATTAATTGGTGCATTGTGGGAAATGGATTCAGTTATACTTTAAGGTAGTAGTTTGGAAACCAGATTTTCACAAAGAAATTGTTAGCATGTTCAGCAGTAATTCTCTCTCCATCTCTTTGGGTTATTGTGCTTTCAATTGTTCTTGAATAGTCTCATCTCTAGAGATCAGATCATATTGCAGGACCTGTGAGTTTTTGAATCTTTTTGTTTCTTACTGTCTAGGGTATTGATGTGGATACTTATACGTAAATATTAAAAGAATTACTTGTCATAGTTTTGGCTATATTCCTGTTGACCAACTAGAGATGGGTTTCATTCTCTCTGTTTGTTAATACAACTCTGAATGCCTTCATGGAATAAGACGAAGGAATCTGTGATACTACTGATTCTTTTAAATCATGTGTTGGATGCTCTTACTGCTCCCATGTTATTGCTTATGTTGCTTAATGTTATCACTGAATAAAAGCTTTGCAGCCCAGATGAGTGAAAGGATTTTTGTGCTTTTTGGTTTTTTGATTGCATCCAGACCTACAGAAAGTTGATCAGAATTTATTTTTCTAAAGGTACCGAAACCAGCTGGAGTAAAGAAAGGTTGGCAGAGAGCACTGGCAGTGATCTGTGATTTTAAACTCTTCCTATATGATGTAGCAGAAGGAAAAGCATCCCAGCCCAGCGTGATAGTGAGTCAGGTCATAGACATGAGGTAAGCTGAGTGGTGCTGAGGGGAAGCTTTTCAAAGGCACTGAGAGGTTTTGTTCTGCTTTTCCTTTTTGTGAAATCAGTAAGCAAGCTCCAGAGCTTTTATGAAACACTGTAATCCATGTTGAGAGCTTCTAATTTTTTTGGGGGGGAGGGGGAAGCAGCTAGCTTTTATTTGAAGTTAGCCTGAACTACACTTGTGTGTTCATATGCGGATGTTTAAACTTACGTTACTACATCATGCGCAAAGAGCATCTGTTCAGCTGCGTAGAAGATCTGGAATGAAAAAATAAGAAAAAATAACATTATTTTGGGGTTGAATAGAGTTTTGAAAGACAGATAAAACTTCGTTATAGGATAAAACTGTTACAATTTTTGGTTCAGAAGGGCATTATTAGTTTGTTCACGCTATCTTCAGTATTACTGAAATACTACCAACCTCGCTGAAGGCTGAGAGCATTTAACATAGCAACTAAGTAAAGCTCATCTCTGATCTATGTTAGTTCATCCAGAAAGTCTCAGACTTCTAATGAGTTTGGATTTTTATGAAAGAGTTGGAAGATGTGTTCTTGGTCCCGCCTTTTTTTTTTTTAAGTTGGACTTTTTCTTATTTAAAGGTTTTAATTTATACAAATGGAAACCAGATACAGGATATCTAAATAGATTTATCTACATCAGTATTTACCAGGAATTAATTATACAACATTGCATTTGAGTTTCATCTGCAGATGGAAAGGATAATTTTAAAAATTAGATCTCAGTGCTGACTTGTTATGTCCCTCACAAAACAAGGCTATTGGAAAAGTAAAAAGCAAACATACAGATTTTACTCTTTAACTCTTTTCCCATTATGTTTGTGGTCTCCATAAGGGATGAAGAATTCTCAGTGAGTTCTGTCTTGGCCTCGGATGTCATTCATGCAAATCGAAAAGATATCCCCTGTATCTTCAGGGTAAGTACTATGTCTTGATCCAGGTAACCCAGAGATAAAGGCTTTCACAGGGTGATGGATGGTGTGCATTTGCTGGCAGCTTGCTAGTATTTTATTTTCTGGGCAAGTTCTGACCATGTGGTATCCATGGCAGCAGCAATGCATAGGGATCTGTACATACATCATTTTTGTGGTAAAAATAGCATTGGTTCATTTAGACAACCTCTCATCTCCACTGTATGTGGGTTTTATTTTTCAATTTTCACAGTAAGATGTATTTTGTATTCTTCTGTTCATCATGACCTTCTACATTTTCATTTCCCAGAGTTACCCTCTGCTTCTCAATTTAACTGGTTATGTTGTTCCTGAAACCTTTATCTTAGCTGTTTTTTTAATATGTGCATTGGGTATCTGAAAACTCCTGTTTATCAGATGGCCAGTATAGAAATGTAGTGTAAAATGCTCATCAAAATTTCTGTCTAGTATCTGGTATCAGGGTTTTGCCATCATTGGTTCTTTCTAATATTCTTATTTTTACTAGGTAGTCTATCGAAGCTTTGACCTCAGTGAAATCTCCTTGGTGTCTTCTTAATTTCCCTATCATTTCTTTTTTGTATCATTGTGTTTTACTCCTTGTTTTTCCAGTTTTCAGACTGTTCATCACTCTGTATGCTTACAGGAGATAAACTTACAAAAGGGACTTTGACTTTTATCTATAGTAGCTGTATCAAATACATGAAAAGGATCACAGATCATTTTTTCATAAGGACCATTCCTATTGTGTTGAATTGTTAATGCTTTTTGTTATAAAATTGCTGTGAGAAACAATTTACAACCTTATTTAGAGCAGACATTTGTGAATTATAGAATAAATACAAATGCATTTAGAATAAAGCCAACATTTTCTCTGTTCTTGAAGTTATTCACATCTACAGGTTTCTCTGCTGTGGGTTCTTAGAATAAGATAAGAGTGTTTTCTGTTAACTAAAGCTAAATTTTTACTTTCTTAGTTCAAACAGCTAATTAAAAGGGCATTTACAGGCATCTGATAGCCTTGCAAAAATGGTCATGAGGAAATTTGTCGCTTATGACTTAATATGCATCTTTTAATTTTTTACAGGTTACAGCCTCCCAGCTCTCTGCATCCAGTAACAAGTGTTCAATCCTGATCCTAGCAGACGGTGAGAATGAAAAAAGCAAGTGGGTAGGCGTGCTGAATGAACTGCATAGGATCTTGAAGAAGAACAAACTCAAAGACCGCTCAGTCTATGTTCCCAAAGAAGCTTATGACAGCACCTTGCCCCTCATCAAAACAACACAGTCAGCAGCAATCATAGGTATGAAATGAATAAGAGGAAAACTCTAAGAAAAATGGGTATGCTAAAAGCATGCTTTTTTAGAAAGAAAATGTATTAGATGGTGTTATCTACTGGATAGAGAGTCATATATAGTGGTTTTGTCCCATATGGAAATGTTTATGGACTTAAGAGAGAAGTGCAATTTGCTACCCAGTACTTTTGTCAGATCTTTTAAGAGTATTCCCTCGATTCACTCGCATTCATAATTATGAATAATTTTGACTGAGAATTGGAAATTTCTCTCTTGTTATTCTGGTAACATAATTCCCTAACTGGGCAAAATTAACACTATAGAATAGATGCAAATCACTGACTTTACAAAATCTGCTGGTGGGACCAGACACAAAATGTAAGATCAGAGAGTGAATTTAGTCATTTTAAATGCTACTGCATAAAATATGTTAAACTCTGATGATTTAAATTATTTAAATATTATCGTTATTTCAAAGCTAGTGGTACACTTAAGTACTCTGAATGGTTTGTTAAAAATTACGTTTCTCACTGTTACTTTTACAGGAGAAATGGGAAAAGATTTGTTTTTTTCAGAATTTGAAAAATTGGGAGGTTGCCAATGTTTTTTTGTTACATGAGTGTATTGGGTTTGCCTTTATATACATTTATTTCAAGATATTAAAAAAACTGTTAATGAGAATTATCACTATTGTTGAAGTAATTCCTCAAGTACTTCCAAGGAAAAATAACCTTTTTTTTTTTTTTTCCTAATGTCATAGACCATGAAAGAATAGCTCTGGGGAATGAAGAAGGGTTATTTGTTGTGCATGTCACCAAAGACGGTAAGAGATTAGGAACTGGTAATAATTTCCCTAATACTAAATAATCAGAAAGTGGCTTTTTAATCTTTTTTCTTATTCAGTATCCTCTGGTTTAATTTTTCTTCATTTACTACATTATTAGCTGGACATCTCCATGAGTGATCAGAAGGGGTTCTGTGTGCTTTCTGGTTTGGGTATACTTTTCAGTAATGATGATCCAGCATCTGGAATGCAGTTGAAGATTTTTTCCCCAGTTTGAAGCAGGCTCAATACTGAATTCAGACCAGATTGTTCAGGACTTTGGCCAGTCAGGTCTTGAAGATCCCCAAGAACAGTTATATGATTTCTTTGGGCTGCCTGTTGCAGATTATTCTTGTAGTGAAACATTTCCTTCATATATCCAGTAGGAACCTCTCTCATTTCAATTTGTGACTATTGTATTCTTATCTCCTGCTGTGCACCTCAGTAAGAATTGTGGCTTAATCCTGTCTGTAACCTCCTCCTTGGTACTGGAAATGAAAATTTATGTTCAGTATTGTAAGAAGTAATAACAGATGCCCAAACTAATTCAGCAAACAGCATGTTTAATTGTTGCATGCTCAACAAGTATTCATGTGTCAGCTCTTTGAGGGTTTTCCTTTATTCAGTAGTTTTGTTGCTATAAACTGTTTTTGAAATGAGTACTGAAATAATATAGTGGTTTTAGTGGCATCAGATCTGCTCCTCCTGCTTCTGGTGAGGAAAAACCAAAGGTCTATCCAGAATTGCCACATCTGGTATTATTAAAATACAAGTTTTGATTCTGTACTTTTTAATAGTGCGGGAAAGCAGTAAAGGGAATTTCTTGGGTTTCTTTCGTAGTTTATCTTTGCAATTACATATGTTATAATCAATTCACACTTCAACCTTATTTACTTGGATTTGTGGGTTTGGGGGGTTTTTCTTCATTTTTTTTTCAGAGATTATCCGTGTTGGTGACAATAAGAAGGTTCATCAGATTGAGCTTATACCAAGTGAACAGCTCATTGCAGTAATCTCAGGACGGAACCGTCATGTGCGGCTTTTCCCTATGGCTGCCCTGGATGGAAGGGAGACTGAGTTTTATAAGCTGGCAGAGACAAAAGGCTGTCAGTCAATAGTTTCTGGACACGTGCGCCACGGAGCTCTTACCTGCCTGTGTGTAGCTATGAAAAGACAGGTCCTCTGTTATGAACTAAATCAGAGTAAGACGCGTCACAAAAAGATCAAGGAGATCCAGGTCCAGGGGAACGTCCAGTGGATGTCAATCTTCAGTGACCGTCTTTGCGTGGGCTACCAGTCAGGTTTCCTAAAATATCCCCTTCATGGAGAAGGCAGCCCATACAGTCTGCTCCATCCAGACGACCACACACTATCATTTATCTCACAGCAGCCAACTGATGCCATCTGTGCAGTCGAAATCTCAAATAAGGAATACCTGCTGTGTTTTAGCAGCGTCGGGGTTTACGTTGACTGCCAGGGCCGAAGATCAAGACAGCAAGAGTTGATGTGGCCTGCAACTCCATCTTCTTGCTGTAAGTTGCCACGTCTGTCAGTCTGTTTGCTGTTGTACATGGAAGTGTATTAATATCCACAGGAAGTGAAAGTCAAGGCTAATTACCTGACAGGGAAATGAATGCTCTCAGCTTCTGTCAGCATTTTTAATCTAGTCAGAGGGTTTAATCCTGATCTCATTTATGCTGGTTTTGACAACTCTGTCACTGACCTATACTGCTGGAACACAAAGAGGAATCATGAGTCAGGATTTCTAACTCTGATGTCCAACTTCTAAACACATGTCCTGGTATCTAAAACAGCCAAAAGCTTCAGGTTTTCTACAAAGACCGATGTATTCCTTACCACCAATGCTGGACTACTGTTACTTAGACTTGAAATGTCACTGTACTTGGGCTCAGCATTGTGGTTCCAACTTTGATGTTCAGAGTCATCAGGATCTGGTAGTTCGACTTGCTTTTCTTTAATAGTGTTTATTCCTACTTACTAGTTTGTTCTTTTCTTTCTTTATTCTTTCATTCTCTCTTTCTCAGCAGTTTTTGTCAACACTCATCTCCTCTCTGCTTGTTAAAAAAATTGCTTTTTAAGTTTCCTTCCTCTGTCTCTCACTTCCTTCCCAAAATACAGTGCATAGCACGCAGTGTAGAAAATACATTTCATAACCCTGAGGGAAAAATACTGTAATTTTTCAAGATTTCCATTTCTACCAACAACTGGAAAAGACTTATTGCACATTTTTTTTCAATTCTGGGGCTTTATCTTTGTGACAGTTTGAGGAAAAAAAACCAACCTGCAATGTCTCTCTTCTTTTTAATGTCTCTCTGAATGCAGATAAAGATTAGCCAAATTTGCCCTCAGAGTGTGAATGAACTCAGTCTTATGTTGATATTCAGAATATAGTCTGTCTTCTTACCTCACTCTGGCAGCAGTCCAGTCACACTTCAGAGGGGAGGAATGTTTCACCTTGTTTGAGTAAAGGCCCTTCTGAATATGAAAGGAGCAACTTTTACAGGCTGTTTGTCACTTCTGGTTTTCAAGCAATTTTAGGTAATTGATTATCACAATGGGCTCAGAGAATGAATGAATCAGAATAGAAGATTTTGCGATAGATTGAAAAATGGGTATTTTTCACAGGTAGTTCATCTATACTGGTCATTGATATTTGTGTTTTTTCAATTGCCTTAAATGAAGTGACTTGGTGTTATTCCAGTTCAGAATAGAAGTATATTTTATAGCAAAAGCTGTTACATTTAGACACAAATTGAATGGTCTTATTAGTCTTGGCAGACCATGTCAGTCTTTTTACTGACATGGAAGTACTGAATTCTCCTTTAGAAGTGGTCCCAGGGGAATAAATTTCATCCTGGGAAAATGTGCCAGATAAGTAGCACAAGAATTCTCTTTACAATCCAGAAAATAAGAAGAGAGAATTAAAGCTAGAAGGAGACATGATTTTTATGACTGTGTCATAGTACTTAGTTCCAATAGATGGTCATTTAGTGCATAGTCCAAAGTCTAAGAGCTGAGTTCATTCAAATGGCAGTTATTAAATAACAGTAATATATTTTCCTACCACATCATTTACAAAATATGAGCTCTTAAAAATAGGGCTTTTAGAGGAAAAAAAACTTTGAACCACATCAGTGTTTGGCAGAATAAACTGTAATCTCTTATAATTCAGAAAGTAGTTGGGTTTTCGGCAAAGTTAAAAGGAAAGTCACGGAGATTCCAAGTTTTTAGGTGGTGCTGGTTTGCCTTCAGAATAAATTTATTGGTCATATTTGAGTTAAAACACATTTTTCAAAGATTGTTGTTGGATTGTGTAGTGTTGATTTTGGTTTTTTTAAATAAATACAGTTAAACCATAAGGAATTCTGTATTTTGGGCTGTGTCTAAAAGCACATGACACTGTACCTACTCATTCCCTCTCAGGTTACAATGCACCATACCTCTCTGTGTACAGTGAAAACGCAATCGACATCTTCGACGTGAACTCCATGGAGTGGATTCAAACTATTCCTCTCAAAAAGGTAACTTGCCAAGACTCAACAATGCTTTGCTACAATTGTACCCGTTTTTTAAGCATATTAGAAGCCATAATTAAAGCTGCTTGTGTGAACATAATTGAACTAAAGGAAGAGCTACTGCTTTTTTGTTTGAAATAGAAGATACGAAATGTGTTTGCATGTGGTTTCACTGTTTTAGATGAATGTTCAATCTGGAGCATATGACTGTGTAAGATTTAATGATATTATTATAATAGTGAGAGCATTTTCTTGCTGTTAATTGCATATAACTTCATTGGGACTGATTGCATCTATGTTATTGCCAGAAGATGGTGGATGTTAAAATATTTAAACAAGCCTTCAAAAATCCATCTCCTGCTGCTTGAGAACATTGTAGACAGACAGGGTTAGAACATTTTGTTTCAACCAGTACAAATACTAAAACCAGGATGATGTCAGGTTTGGATCTCTTATCAAAAGTTTCTGAAAACTGACACTTCTTTAGTATTTAGTAGGTGTTTGCTCAGCTGTATTTGGAAAGAAATAAGAAAAGTTTTTTTCCCATAGTTTAGACTAACTTCAGCTTCATGCTGTTGTCAACATCATTCCTTTACTGGCATTCCAGGGACATAGAATTACAGGACATTGCCCCTGTGGTCTTGTGTCAATCATTCAGTCTCTCAGTATATCCATTTCCCATGTGTCAGATGCAGACCAGGGTATTCTGGCAGTGCTGTAAGAATAAATAATGCAAAAGATCAAGGTACTCAACTATTATCCATCTTAAGGAGAGAAGAAGGATCTGAAATTTAGGGGAAATTTCTTTCTGATGTCCAGACTCTGAGTTATTAAGCAGTTGGATCATTTTTTCCTGCACAGTAAGAATGCAATTTAGTACTTGGATTAATATTTGGCTCAAGACTTCCCATTTAATGGATAAAGCTGCTTTCATCAAACAAGAATTGCTACATCTGGGAGACTCAAAAATGGATATTTTTTATGAAGAGCTGGTTTCTAACACAGTTTGCAGACTCAGAGTGTGGAATGCTTCTGTCATTTTTAAGTTGGAAATTACAAATACCACTGGATTTTAGCAGTCTCTGTACACTCTTATCAAGTTGCAGAGCACAATTGTGACATGGTACTAAGACAAAACAAAAACCCAGCTTATTGCTTTGCACATCTAATAGAAAAACTTGAAATGATATATGAAGTAGACTTCTAACAGAACTATTTATTAAAATGCTGGGAGGAATGGTGTTAAACCTGTGTCTTAAAGTGGAGTTTTAGGTAACCCTCTCTGTACTCATTTTCCCAAAAGAAGTTTAAAATCTAAAATTGTTTTGACTCTTCTGTGTGGCCGTAATTACTTGCAATTGCTACTTTTGAGAGCTGCCATGTGTTACTGGAGATAGGAGACCCTGTTCCATTTGACTCTACAGCAGTGCTCCTTTTATAGCATTTATAATGCATTTTGGAGCTTTCAGAATAAGATGCAGTAGAGAAATGTGAGTTATTACTATTACAAAGACTGTTTTTCCTTGTTTCAGGTACGACCCTTGAATACAGAAGGATCACTAAACCTTTTAGGCCTGGAGACAGTTAGATTAATATATTTCAAAAACAAAATGGCAGGTAAGTAAAGAGAAACCAATTTTCATCATGCAAATTTTTGTTTAGTGTTTTTCTACTCATTGTAGAAAGTGATCTTTCAAACATATGTGTTCTTGTTAATTTGGGAAAAAACCAAAGCTTTTAGATTCCACAGTGATTTCAATGATGTCTACTACTCTAATTTTTTTCTTTCCTTTTGAATATTCAGTTAAGACTTGAATGAAGACTGGAAGTAGAGAATAGAATGACTAGATGCTCCCTCCAAATGTGGGATCACCTGCCAGAATGCTGTCTAAAAATGCCTGCACAATTAAAGACTTTAGTAGTGATCTTGGCAGCACTAGATTAAAATTAATACTATACTTGACATTAAAAAGAAAACATTTCCCAAAGATTACAAAGTAATGTAATATTATGTATTCTTAACTTATTACTAGGGCCACTATGACCATGTACCACAGTTTTAGCTTCACTGGTCTATTTTTATTATAAGTCTTATTGACTTTTTTTCTTTTTAGAGCCCATTTCATAAGTATACTACTGAGGAATTTCCTTAAACTTTTGTTTAACCTCTTAGATAGAGCAGGGACATTCTCTGTTTTAACAACCAAAAGCTATAAACTTTTGTTAACAACTTTCTGAAAATAGTAGAAATAAACACTCTAGAAACATGTACTGCTGTTGGCAGTGTTTCAGTGTTATTTAAATTGCTAGCAAATTAGTACAAAAGCAATAACAGTGGTAGAGAGGAGCAGTATACTACAGCTGTGTATAAAGAATTTTCAAGTCTAATAAAGATTGAACATTAAAAGTAGAGCAGAAGAGAAGAAAAACTGTAGAGCATAGGATCAGAATTGAGGCTGATGGTTTTCTCCTGTATGTTACCTAAACAGTGTATCTCTTTAGAAGTCTGCAGGTTTTTTTCCTGAAAATACTTATTTAGTAGATCTCGCCCTTCAGGAAATCTCCAGCTGATCTTAAAGGAAAGAAGAGTTTTCAGTTCCATACAAAACCTGTTTTGGCAGTGAGCAGTAGGTGTTGGGTATGTTCAAGCTTGCTAAGGGTAACTTTAGTCTCCATATATATATATGTATATATATATATATACGTGTATATATATGTATATATGGACTGAAGTTCATGTATATGTATAGACTAAAGTATATAAAAGGCACAGGAGTTGCAGCATTCATTCAAAGTAACAATCCTACTGTATGATTATCACTGCTGTACTTTTCATGTCTTTATTAAAGATGCCTTGACCAGATGTACACATGTGGAAAAAATCCTCCCTTTTCCCACAGTTGCACCAAAATACAGTACTGTTCAAACACTGTTCAAAAGGAGTAGTCTCTTTGGAGCGGGGAATGAATGAAAGAGAATCTTCCATTGAGTTTCCAGACGATTGGCAGAACAAGACTGTTTTAGTGATTTTTTTTCAGTGAGAACTGCCAAGGAAAGTTTGAGACAGAGGACTGAGATCCTTTCCTGCCCACCTAAGTGTTTTGTTTGAAAGAATGAATCAGTACTGTTGTGAGAACAAGTGTGGCAGCTTGTGTGTGAAGAAGGGTTAAGTCTATTGCTACATAACAGAGTAGCAGATAGTGGCCAAGAAAACCCGTAAACCAAAGAACATTTGTTTGGATTTGAGGGGAAGTGAGTGTTGTTCAACACTTAGTGAGGGCAGAGGAAGAAAATGTCTTCGAATTCAAATTCCATGCATTGTCCCACCAGATCACCATATTTGTGTTGATTTCAGAGGGTGATGAACTCGTGGTCCCTGAGACATCGGATAACAGCCGGAAGCAAATGGTTCGAAACATCAACAACAAGCGCCGCTATTCCTTCAGAGTCCCAGAGGAGGAGAGGATGCAGCAGAGAAGGTCGGTATTCAACATGTACTTGCCTTCTGTACATGCCTGTAGGCGCTGAGGGACAGTGGCTGGTACCAGTGTAGTACTTCATGCATTGCTTTCTGGAATGCCCGTTCAGATGTTTCCGTTCTCTTCGCTCCCGTGTTAATCCTCAGTGTTTAATTTGTGTTAATGCCAGTTTGGATATGGATATGCACTGGATGCACAAGTATTCATTAGTTCAGGTTAATTATGTGAAACAGCTGTAATTTGGAATGCATGTCTCCACATACTGTATATAGCTGCATAGCTGTGCACATACTCTGTGTATATAAAGATCTCTAATAAACACTTTGCAAAAGGAGATTGCATTGCTAACTATGCATATGGATTAATTACGTTCAGACTCTGGTTCTGCTTTTCTTTCTGAAGGCTCTTCTACTCTCACCAGTACTCTAAGACATCTGCTTTTTTGATTTATAGATTTAACTACATAAACTCTCTATAAAGCTCACAGAACTCACCTCATCAGAGGACATAGGACTTCAGGATGTATTTCTAATAGGAGTGTTGAATAGCTTATGAATACTTTCCTAAATGGCAACAAAAATAGGTCTGCACTACTTGCAGTGTTCACAGAGGATGTTACTGACCATTTAGTATCACTCACTAAAAATGACCTTCTACTGTGCTAAGCCACACTCCAAGAACTGAGTATTTCAGTTTTCTAATTTTCAACATCTTCCACCAGTGATTGGCTCCCAGCTTGTCTTTCTTTTTAGCTCTAAGGAAGGTAACAGCAGTATGCAGTGGAGATAAAATTCTGTTTCTTGACCTTGCCTTTTCTGAGTTGATTGAAGTTTGGTCTCTTAAAGTTTTATTTATTCTGAGTTCTGAAATGCATCCTTGCCATTTTGAAGAGCTTTTAATTCTGACCACAGACTGAGAAAGGTACTGCAGTATTATTTTAATTCTATTTTCATATTTAGTACTTCATTTTCATCTCCACTTTGTAACACATCACAAATGAGTTCTGCTTTTACTCATCTTACAGGGGTTTTTACAGCTCATAGTGGTTATGTATTCTCTGACCGTTAGTAACTACTGGGCACAGGCTCTTAGCTGGAAAAAGACATTGATTTATTCTGGCTCCTTACCCTCTCTTCAAACTGGAAGCTTCTCCATGCCTCTGCTGATAGCAGGGAGTTATCACTGTTAACGTGGTTAAATAGAGCCATAAAATCACAGAATCGTTTAGGGTGGAAAAGACTCCTTAATTTCCATTTGAAAGAAGCTGATAATCAAAACTGTACATGTTTTATAAATGCCCATCCTTACCTAGAGCAAAATACCTGAGCACAGTGTTTTTTCTTCCAGGGAGATGCTACGTGATCCAGAAATGAGAAATAAGTTAATTTCTAACCCAACTAATTTTAACCACATAGCACATATGGGTCCAGGAGATGGTATACAGATTCTCAAAGACCTTCCAATGGTAAGTACAAAAGTACATGTGAGAGTGACTGACTGCAACAGGGGCTGCAAATAAGTGAGAGAAAAACAATTACAATTTTAATGTATATTTAAAGTGTTGATGTATTTCATATCAGGAACAGTGTAACTGGGGAAATGGAAATTTAGCCAAGGAGGGTGACACTTCAGCATTGAGGGGGGAGAGGAGGAGGAGTGCCTAATGCCCCTGGGGTTTTCAGACAGATTGACCTCACAGTGTTGATAACTTTTATGACTGATATGAAGGGGTAGACTTAAAAGGATTTGGGCCTGTGTTCTTTGTGGGCATGGAAAGAGAAATTCCTTTCTTCACGAACTGTAGTTCAATTCCTTTTTTCTCTTCCAATCTTTAGTTCAAACTTAGTTTCTCTCTCTCCAGCCTGTTTTCCTGTAGCAGTTTAATAGTGTATAGTGCCCAAATTTTTTTCCATGCCAAATATGCTATCTTCATGTTCTCTCCAGATTAAGTAGTCTCAGTGAAATGGAGAAAAAGAAAAAGAAAATATGTAATAGTGCACACACGTGTTCATTTCCATGAAACCTTAGGTAGGAAACACTTACCTGGAAGTTAATGAAATTTTTGTTGAGCTGAAGACCAAGTAACATTTATTTCATAAGAGAGTGTCATACTGCTTGCTTCAAGTTACCTTGAGCATCTTGTTTGTGTGTTCTGTGTTGTTCTCTAAACTCATCCACAGTGACACAGATGTGATTCAGAAGATGCTAATTAGCACTGTAAAAAAGATGAGGTGATATGATATCAAACATGATATGAGTACTAGCTTAAGACATAGGCATTAGTACAGAACTGCTGTCTAAAATGATCATCATTACTGCTTGGAGTTTGTGCAGAAAGCAGGGGGTAGGTGCTGAATTTGGGATATTCTGATGCTGAAAAGCCCAAAGGAAACAATTAAGACTGGAAAATACAGTGTGCCATGTAGTTACACCAGTTTACAAGTTTAGGAGCATAATCTCTGGCCTTTGGATACTCATTGTACCTCGCTTTTGCAGCAAATGGTACTTTTATATTACACTTGACTGTAAAGTCAGCACGCTGACTTACTTTAAATCTTGTATTAAGCACACTGAGAAACCTCTCAATAACAAATATATTCAGTGTAATGAGCAAAAAACCAATATTGTATCTGTGTTTATAAATGAATAGATAATGAAGGAACTGCTTCTAGAAAACACATGACAAATCTAAGGGAAGTTGGCAGGTAGTGTTTATCTCACCTGGATACAAGATCGCATATGTCTAATGTTAGACAAAGAATGGCAATTTGCTTCAGGGCAGAATGTAGATAGAACCTTTCTTCATTTCTCCATTTCTGGTGGGTTGTTTAAGATGTTTGTGACTTTTCTCAAACAGAGAAAATAATCTGCTACCTCTGAAGGTAGGGTAAAAGACACCCTGTGTCACACCATCAGTAGTTGAAAGTTCATGGGAACCAAAAGCTGCGAGGACTCTTAACCAAGCCCCAGATCTGACAAGTGTAAAACGAGGAATTTTATCTATAGAAGACAATTTTCTGTATTTAGATGGATTAATATTTCTTCAACTGTGTCATCTCTAAATGACTTTTAGCTTTGAATTCATTCTAATTCCTCCAGCCTTGTATTAGATCAAAGGTCATATTTTAAGCCACACTTTAAGAACTTTTACTTTGCTATTACCAATCAATATGTTGTTTTGAAAGAAATTCATGAGTCACTTTCCACACTTAAAAGTGATGAGAGGACATTAGAAAATGGGTACAATATACAATTGATTCCTGCACTTGTTCCACTGCTGCAGCTTCTTTTTTTGAAGTTTCTATTATAGCCTCCTTTTTGCAAGTAGGTACCAGTCTTAATGGTGGGAGATGTCACTGCAGATAAAGCGAATTTCTTGTGTATTTTTCTGGCAGCTCCTTGCATTCCTAACTTAACGGGCACAGAACTGCATCAGACACGGGACTTGAAAGCATGTGAATTCGAAAGTGCAACTTGAAATTAGGAAATAAATGGTCTGTCAAGGGCTGCTTAGGTCTAGGCAGATTCGTCTTTTCCAACAGCTTCCTGTAAGGTACTTACAGTGTTCATTTAGTCTGTTCCAGACTGCATACTTGACTTCTCAGGCACAAAAATAGAAGAAAAGAAGTTATGTGTGCATGTGAGGTTATGTGTCGAGTCTAATGTTTTTTTGGAAAGACAAATTTAGAATCAGAAGAGGGGATGGAAACAGGATGTTTCCTGGAGAATCACTACACAAGGTAAAGAATACTCATTGAACCCTGCGTACAGTTCATCTGTATGGTGGTTCCTTTATCAGGACATAGTATTATTTCCCTACTTTGATACCTTATTCCAAAAAGCTCAAAAGCAGGGGTTTTTTGTGTGCTGTTTAGCATGTGTCATGATTTTGCATCTGGACATCTTCTTTCTATTTGGAAATAGATTAGTATGTTTCAGAAGAGAAAGTATTTATTTTTAATGAACTATGGGAGAGATTGCAGAATGCCTAATTTTGTTTATGGAAGCGGATGGTAAAATATATTTTTCCATTTAAAGAGGGCTACAGCTAGGGGGAGCAAGCAGTGCAAGGCTAAGAGTCTTCTCACATTCTCTCTGCAAGCTGTTTTAGTGATACAGCTTCTTTTTTTTAAGGGATACTGGAATGCAGAAAGTGTATGAAAAAATGGAGTGGACCTTTTTATTTGGAGTTTCTTCTCACTTGAATGCTTTCAAATTTGGCTGGAACATGAGCTCCAGCATGCTCTTTCACTGAAGTCAGTATGGGCTGTGTGGCAGAAGGGTCCTTAGTAATAAATAGGTTTTTATGGAGAATAAATACTGTAATCTCTGTGTTGAATGAAATTGTCACAAACTAAATAGCCAGCTCAGACCAGCTTTTATCTAGCATCCATGGATGAACTTCGTAAAGCAAATGACAATTTTTATGTATATGTACGTATTTATATTTATTAGTATATACATATTCACCTCATATATGCAACGTGAATCCAATCAAAACTTATCTCCACAATCCCACTAACGTGCCTCTGCTACCTTTTTCAGGGGAAATGCCAAAAGTTGAACGAAGCACAGAATTAGAACTGGTGGAGATGGTCCTTGGTGGGTGGGCTGTGCTGTGTCAGTGGGCAGGAGAGGACATGCACTTGTGCTGCCCTAACCCATGGTGTAACTGCCTGGTGGGTGCAGAGCCAACAGGAGCCTGCTTGCCCTCTGTCCACCACTGTTCTTAATGATGTCTTTTGAAAAAGACCAACATTAAAGAGTTTAATTTTTATTGTAACCGTACAAAATAAATGGAATAAAAGGAATGCTTTAAACTCTTTAGGGCTATTTGGTATGTTGTATCAGGTGCCTACATATGTGCAGCGTATCTGCCACTGTGTGTTTGCCCTTGCTGATGCAGCCACAGGGGGAAAGGTGCTTTCTCTGTGCATTGTTTCTGAGGTCTTGTTATGCACCAGACACAATGATGCGTTTATGGGAAGTTGAAGTCTGTTAGCCTAGTCCCACATTGTTCTCTCCATGAGCAGACATCCTTGACTTCAGTATAGCCCTGTGTTTGGGCAGAACCATGCCCAAGGCTCAGAGAGAGAGAGATCAGATTTTAAGAGAGGGGTTTTCAGGACACTGTAAATTTGTATCCTTCTTTTTTTTCATGGTGAACACTTACAGTCTGGCTTTGACACACAACTTTGTGGGCTGCAACACAACAGAAACCAGAAGTTCTTGTTTGCTATTAGCAGAGCAGTAATCAGTACATATTTGTATTTTATTGATGTGGATCTGGGTCATTGTCTTGTTTGTACAATTTAGAATGGTTCCTGTTAGTATATCCCCAAACTTATTTGTTTACATGTTTTTCTTCCCTAGCAGCCTGTCACCAATTAACTGGCCGTACAGTCTGGCCTCCCTTCTGCCCTCTTGTCCCTTGAAGCCACTTTATCGTGGATGCTCCTTTGTAGTGAAGATCTGAAATCTGGAACTGCACTTACTGCAGCACAGACCACCTCTCTGTGTACATCAGATGTACAGGATTGATTTTGCTTTCATATTCTGCATGCCTAAGTATTTTTATATACAAAAGCTGGTCTTGACTGCCGTTATATTTGAACATTATGCTTCAGTTTGACCTCATTATACATGAGCCATTCTACTTCCATTCTAGATGATGTGTGAAGCTTTGCTTGTTTCAATTGAGAAACTTTTAGAGTAAATGAATACTTATCTATATTTGGTATTCTTTAAAGAAAGTGGCAACCCCATGCATGCATCTAATGGTGGAGTCCATGGAGAAAGTTCCATGGAGGATCATTTTTAAAATGCTGCCATATCGTGGCTTTCTCACATTCATGAATGCTGGCTAAATATTTTCATGGTCTGCAGCTGGCCTACCCTCTGCTTTTTAGCTTGTGATTTTAGACACTGCCATATCTCTCTTATTGGCTTTTAGGAATGTAGCTGGCTTTGCTGCCAGTTCTCTGTTGTGAGCAGATAACTCAGCAAAGTCTGCTGTCCTGGACCATTTTGGAATGGTGGCTTCTCGTACTGATATTTAGATGCTGCTAAAGTTACTAATAATAATTTAATGTATATTATGTCTTATATGCCATAATGTGGTAATTGATGTTTTGGTTAACAGGCAAAGCCTCATAATAACCATGTGATTTTAAAAAAAAAAAAGGTTGGATTTTACCAGCTGAAATGAAGAGAACAGTAACAGTAATGTTTGATATAATATGTATTGGGATGTGACTTAATGTTCTTCCAGACTTTAATACGTTCCACATACAAAAAGTAGTGCCTTAGGTTTAGTGGAGGGGTAAACTATATTTTTACCATATTTTATATTTTAAGTCCTAGCATTTCTAACATTACTCAGAAATGTTTGTTTTAAGGCGATGAAATCAGTTGGATGAGGGGAAGAGGAACTTAAAAGTTAGAAATTAGAAAAGGTGTTGTGATTTGGTGGTGTCCATGGGCAAACCACCCCAGTGCAGGCTGACCTGCTGAGTGTGTACAGGTGGCACAGGGAGGGAGACCGAGCCTTGAAACGCTCTCAGTTAAATCTGGATTTAGGTGACTTTAAATTATAAGAGCACTTGTGTCAGCACATTCCACAGAGATGAATTAGAAATCGTTTCTGTTTAATTTCCAGGGTTATTTCTCCCCTCTCCTTCTTTATGTCACACTTGGGGAGCACGCTGCTCAGTTGACCTTTTAACAACATCTGAATTTCCCAATACTTTGGCACCTTTATGTGCTAGGGGTCTGATCCTCTGCAGCACAGAGGCGGCAGTGCAAAGTCCCCTCATCACTAAAGCGCTGTCAGGAGTGTGCAGAAGGACATGGGCCTGGTGGCGTCTGTCTGCAGCAGAGTGAATTGTCCCAGTTGTCTGACACTAACCAGTTCACCTTCCCACACAACCTGTGTCCCTGCCCTGTCAAAGCACTGTTCCCTCCTGTTGGAAATACTCTGTGTTTGTTGTATGGGTGATATTTTTAATGGAATCGCTAAAATGCATGAATAACAGAAGGAAAACTCTTACAATCTCTTAACTGCTGTGTATTTTCATCTTTTCTTCTCCCCACACCACCTCACCTGTGTTCACCTTCCTTTGTTTGTGTTATGTCTATTTTAGATTGTAAGCTCCTCAAGGCAGGGAACTGATGCTTCTCAACTGTCTGTAAAGCACCTTTTACAACTGTGGTGCTCTTTGAAATATCAAAAAATAATAAATATTAGAATCTATTCCCAATGAGTTAAAAGTTTTATTTGTTTTTAATGTTTTAGCAAAAGCAGGGGCAGCAGGCCCATATGACTCCACGTCAGGAAGGTACTTAGGGGACTGGGGGTGACAATGTAAGAACCTGTGTGTTGACAGCGAGCAGGGTTCTGTCTGCTCTCCCCCAGTGTTTGACTGCTCCTGTGGACTGCTGTTGCCAGTGTAACCTGTACAACCATCCTTCATTGCTTTCTCTCTCTGTTGTCTTTGATAGCAGCGTTCCCCTTATCAATTCCCTCATCACCACTCCCGTCTGATCTCCTCTCCGAGCAACTTTGAGCACATCTACCACATGACCGTTAATTCAGCTGAAAAATTCCTCTCTTACGATTCCATAAACCCTGCATTTTCCCCGCCTCCACGCTCTGTCCTCGGTACTCCAGACTTTATGACTCTGAGGGTATGAACGGCTGAGTCAGGTGTTCATTCTACTAACACTGTGTGGTTTTCCTTTTGCCTGGCTATTAACATGGGAGAAAACCCCTTGTAAGCTGTTCCTTCACCCCTTAACTTTCTTTTGTCCCTGACAATTTACTTTCTGCAATCAGCTGTGGTCTTCCCACAGCTCTGACATACCAAGAAAAAAATATTTCATGGCTTTAGAAAAAAGAAAAACGTATAACAACTGGGCTGAACCTTTTGCTATGAAAATACCATTTTTAATCACCAGGAAGGATATTGGCATTTTGAAATGATAAGTTCTCTGTTCCACATTGTTCGTCCTCCAGCAGTCAGTAGCAGGATGCTGCATACCAGGTTGAATTAGGTAAAGGATCTGGATCTGTCTTTGTTGGAACAAACTTTCAAACTGATTGTTTATGAGCAATTCATGTGGAATACAAGAATTTTTACACAGTACTGTACACAGATTGAGAGAGACAGACAGGTCACGCCTCAGACAGTTTCTAGGTTAAAGTAAATAAGTGAAATTAGAACATGTACAAACAAGATAAAAATTAAAGATGATGGCAACTTGCTGATGTAGATCCTCTAAATCCTGGTAGTTTTAGGCAGCAGATGAGGTAGGATACTGTTCTGTAGATATCCTTCCAGTTGGAATGGAAACTGGAGGGATGGAAGTGGTCTTTTCTTTTTTCTTGTGTTGTGCATCCTGGTGTGACAGCATGGGGGTCACTACATCCTATAGGAATACAAACCAAGCTAAAGCAGGCACCCAACTACCTGCTGCACATCATGATTGTGTGCTGTGCTGTGGCCTGCAGTTCTGCTTGGGACAGATTCACAGATAAATCAGGAATAATCTGTGAGACAGATGTATGTGATGGTGGTTGGTTGCTCAGGGCTTGTGTGGGTTTGAGCCATGTCCATTGCTGTAATGGAAACATGGCTCCTGGCTTCTGTGGCCTTTGGACATCCCTCAGACATGCATGGCAAACCTTCACTGCCAGGCTGCTTTGAGTGCCTTTGGGCTGCTGTGCCAGATCCCTGTTGCTGGGAAGGTTTTGGAAACATACCTGTGTACAGCACTAGGCAGAATTTAAAAATGCAGGAGGAAAATAAGTCTCTTCCATATGGCTCCAAAACCAGTTGGCACAGCTAAGCTTTGACTGGTTAAGTGCATGGTCATGTGTCACTGCTGTGAGGGCCCAGTTGTCACAACCATCAATATTCAGAAATGATGTAGCAGCATTTTAGAAAACATGCTCTGTGAGGACAGGTCTGCATCCCTTCTGGTTCTTCTGGTAGGAGGACAGGTTCAGATGCACAAGAGGAGTGAGTGCTCTGTTGAAATGCAAACCAAAAAATATTGCTAAGCTGAATTGAAAGCTGTTTCTCTCCTAGAGGGTCATTATAGGGTCACTGAAGCTGTATTTCAGTTCTGGTTTTAGCAGGATTTTTTTAATCCAACTGTGCTATAAAATTTTCTGTGTTTAATATGCAGTGATGTATCACCGGACTGTGACCCTCCCTCTACCTTCCCTTTCTCATGTGAGTAGTCCCCCTGAGATCAGTAAGGATTGATCCCTCGTGTTTCAGATGGTAACTCTCAATTTTTCCTTTATGAGCATCCTTCATCCTAATGTTACAGCCTACTAGCATAATTTGGAGGGAAAAAAGTGAAGTGGGCAACCCAGAGTGTCAAGGTCCTGTCCCTGTTAGCTCTGTACAGCACTAGAGGTTTAGTCTTGTATGAAGAGAAGCGTTTGTCTGCTTTTTGGCTTGAGGGTAGAGATGCCATAAGCTGTATGGAAAGCAAGGCTGTGAGTTTGGATTCATGTCTCCCTTTGTGTTTGGAGATTTTAGTGTAAGAATGATACCATAGTCCCAGGTACAGATGGGATATTGGAACCAGAACAGAGTGGAATCCACAGGAGAGTTGAAAAATGACCTGTTAAAATAGACTTTTAGATTCTGTCATGTTATTTCATGGAAGAATTAAAAACTGAGGTTTATAATGTAATGAACAGAACACTACTTCAAAACAAAAAGAAACTCCAAAACAACAAGCAGCACGATGGACAGAGGAACAGAGGCATGGAAGTTCCTGTCAGTGTTGTACCTGTTCAGTCAGACCCTATAGGAGCATCCTCACCCCACTGCCAGGGAAGGCAGCTGGAGAGCAGCTGGTGTGGGAGAAGGAGCAGAGGCTGTGTAACACTGCAGAGCTGTGAGCGTAGCAGCAACTGCCCCATCACAACCCACAGCTCCATTCTCCAACTGGAATGGAAGGCACTGAACTGATATGGGCCTTTCACCCTATTTTACAGTCACTCACTTTGCTCGGCAGCAGCTTTGCTGCTGCTGCTTTTTTTCCCCTCTTCTCTCACCTTTCTCTGTTTGGTTCAGCACTGGGGATGGATTCCTGCTAGGATTTGAATTTTTGCTCTAAATGAGGGGTTTTTATCTCTCTAAGTAAAGCAAGCTCAGGTTTCCTTTTGTTTTCTGTGTTTTTAACTTGCTGCCTTGTGCTGCTTTATAACTACCGCTAATAACCTCTGTTTATTTTCCTTTGAATCCCCTTTCTGCATCATGTGCATATCACTTCCAGGAGGTTTGGTCCAAAATGCCAGCGTCTCTGGCATGTGCTTATTTTATTTTTGGAACAAAGGGCAATGAAAGATTTGCTTTGTGGAGAAACATTCTACGAGGAATTACATGGACGTTGCAAACTGGGGTCATGAAAAATAATCATCATTAGAATATACTATTAAAACAAATTAGTCTCTTTCATGGACCCACCCATTCCCTCCTTCCCTGATGCCTGTGTGTTGTCTGCTCAGTCACCGTGAAGGAGGTTAATCACCTTATCACTAAACATAATCGTTCTCTTTGCAAAACGAGCCATTGTAGGTTTATACAAGTACAAAAGTCCAGCCTTGCAACCCCAAGTACTAACCCTAGTGCACATGTTCGCATGGTGCTGCACTTGGCTTTCCTTTCTTTCTCAAAACACAGCAGTAACTTATTCCTTAGCCCACCAGTTCCTTTGGTTATCGTCAGGGGAGCGAATCTCCATGGTTTAGGTACAGCCAGGATGCTTATACTCTGTATCTCACATTGTTTATTGCATGGTGAAGGACACAGGAGCAGAAAACTCAGTGTTTTGTGCTACAAAGCAGGTTGGTTGGTCACATTTAAAAACAAAAAAAGAAGGGGGGGAAGGTAAGTGAGAGACAGCAATACACAAATGATTTAAGAGACTTTTTTAAGTCTCTAGGTATAAATCCTTACAGTGCAGCAATGGAGAGAGGGGAGAATTAAACTGGTGAGGTCTCTGATTCTCTTTTGCTGGTGTTGGAGAGAGATCTGGGAACAGGAGGAGAGAGTTTAATTCTTACTTGTTGCATGTTAAAAATCAGCCATTTCTGGCCCACTGGGAGAATGAGAATCCAAGATAACTGTAAGATCAAAGGAGTCTGTTAGAGCAATTTCTGTAAGGATCATTGTAAGACTGGATTTGGTAGCAGGTTGGTAATAATTATGTGATAAAGATCGAACTGTATAAAATCTGTTCCTTACAAAGCTTGTATTTAATTATCCATTTTAAAATACATGAGTAGTACCTAAGGGTCTCTTAGAATACTCTTGTGGGGGTGGAATCTTTGTTCTGAAAGTTTCATAACACCCTAGTTTAAAAAAGCATCGCTATTGCAACTGTTGTTTTAATTGTGGCTACTTCCTCTCAGAGTGTGTGTGGGAAATAAATATAAATAGGAAGAAATGAACAGTTATTGCAGGGGGGGGGCTGGTAAAGGGGAAATAAAGTCATGCTCAGAGCTACCTGCAGCTCTTTTCACATTGTGCATCTGTGAGGATTCCTTGAACCTAATTCTTGTTAATTGTAATGACTTAATAGTACAAGTGATGCTAGCAGCAGGATGAAGTCTCATATTTAGCCAGAGCTAAAATGATGCACATAGGCAAGTCACTCTGGGCTAAGAAGTCAGCTCATATACAGAGAGATGGGCTAAATAGTCTGATAAGTCTTCTCCCCTAAGGTCAACTGTAAGTTAACAGAAGCGGAATCTCCCAGAACTCACTTCAAAGTACTCTTTTCTCTTCTCTTAAAGGCAGCTTATGTTTAAGGAACTACCATATCCAAGTAGGGAGATTGTGGTTTATCTCTTCCCTCAGTAAAGGACACTTCAGTCCAGTAACTTACTGATTTAGAAAATCACACTGGAGGGAAAACAAGAGCGATAATGAAAACATGTAGACAGACAGTGGCATCTGCTCTGATCATCCTCTTTGAACAGGCTGAAAGCAGGAGGCTGGTTCTCACTTTGGCTGAACTGGTGTAGTTTTGGAGGGATGGTGTTAGCACCTTTGGAATTACAAAAGTAACTGCTATACAGATCGATCCACTTTCTGTAAGCACTAGGGATTAACCTGGTTATTGTATAAAGTTACACAATCATGACACAAATGATGGCATCAAAGAGATAAATTTTATTTTATTTCCTTGGAAGCTTGTGTTCAGAAAGAAAACATTATGCAATATAACTCGAATATATCTGTAGCAGCTTAATTAGGCTTGCAAACCATCCTTTCAAGGAAATTCTTGATTTATTAGACATATTCTTTCAGTTGTCTGCATATGTCCATGTAATTCAGCACTTCACTACTGCGTTGCGTGTGCTGCCAATCTCTGCACTAAACTGCAGAATATTATTTTGCAAATTTTGCTGACTTGCTGCCCAGATATTCAGCTCTGGTAAGGCTGGGGTTTTAATATGTTTTGGGGCCTGCCTTCATAGCATCCAAGGTTGGGCCGACAGTCGATAAGTAAACGTGTCGTGTGTGTCTGCATTTCAGAATCTTCGGCCTCAGGAAAGCCGGACCGTGTTCAGTGGCTCTGTCAGTATCCCATCGATCACGAAATCCCGCACGGAACCGGGGCGGTCGATGAGCGCAAGCAGCGGGTTAGCAGCACGTAAGCAAACAGAATTGTGTTGCTTTGGGGTCTGTGCACAAGTATTTTAGGGAAAGGGCTGCCTGCTTGCAGTTTGCTCCTATCCATGCTGGATAGGGATTTTCAGAAGTGACAGCTGACTGTTCTGCTAAGGGCAAGCAGAGTGTTTTAATCTTGCTTTCCAAGGAGCACATGAATAAGCAGGTAGCATTTTTGAGAGTCCCGGATTAGTAATTTGTCAAGTTTTTAGAATTGACGGTAGAATTAAAATTACATTCTTAGCCTTGGGACTACTTTTCTCATGCTCAAGTGTTTTAAATCAGTGACAAGTTGTTCACAAGCTCTGTGGTTATTGATTCTGTTGCTGAACTCTGTAGAGCTCGTGATGCCTCTCTTGCTGCTAGTGCAAAGAGAAAGCAATAGAAGACTGGCAGCTGGAATAGAAGAGTTACACTGGATTGGAAACACCCTTCTAGTGCTGCCATGCTGTATTTGTGTGCCACAGTCAGCACAGTGACATGGGCTGAGACCAGGCAAGGGGCTTAGCAGTAGACCATGTGGAAATAGAGGCAAAGCTGGTGTCCCAACCTTTCTGTGTTTTTTCCCTTCCTGTGGCACACGCTGTGTTCACTGCACGTTGCCAGCTGCTTGCAGAAAGCTTGTTGTGTGTCTGCTGATACAACCCACCTATGCCCTGGAAAAGAGGCCACTGAAACTAGGCTGTCACCACAGCCATTTCTACAACTGCCAGCTCTGTCAGGAACACACTGACTCTGTCTGTGCTGGGTAAAGTGTTCTAATGCTGACATGCCAAGGGAAGGACTGGAGAATCCAGAGGAAAAAATGCAGCAGACAAGATAAAAGCCCACATAGCCTGCAGGCCATGAGCTGAACATCTTGGGACACTCTGGAGGAAAGCAGAACTAACCAGAGAAACACCTAAACAAATTGCTAGTGTTAGGTGGGCCTCTGTGACACAGTTTGATTCCTCCACATGTTTTAGGATCGTCTGCACAGAACGGGAGTGCTTTGCGCAGGGAATTCTCAGGAGGGAGCTACGGAGCAAAGCGTCAGCCCATGGCATCACCCTCAGATGGGTCCTTATCCTCTGGTGGCCTGGACCAAGGCAGCGATGCACCAACAAGGGACTATGAGCGAGAGGTGAGTGACAGGAGAAACTTTTAAATGTGTTGATAAACATGAGGAAGTTAAATCCTGTCATGGGTTTGGGAGTCATTGACAATGAAGACGTGGATTTCATGTATTTCAAGGTTTCCTGGCAAAAGATTTTGGTCAAGCTTTGTCAACTCTGGTCCTAGCATTTACCATGCAGAAAAAGCACTTCCTGCCTGGAGATACGTGGCTAGTGAGGCTCCCGAGAATACTGGCCCAGTATAGTAACAGCTTGATAGTGACCTGTCGCAGCTTGAAGTGGTGATATTCCATCTGCCCTTCTGCAAAGATTCATAAGCTATCTTAGAAACCATTTCACAGGAGATATTTTGTAGTCAGACCTTAACAAGGTAGTGTAAGAATTGTCATATAATTTCATTTAGAGCAAGAACTGGATTTAATAATTTCTATTCTGTGCAGTTGAGACTATTGTTATGATAGGACTGAAATCCTACCCAGTGCTAAACTCAGTCCCTCTCAAGACTGTTTTACATGGAAGGGTCCAATCTGAAGTTGACCAGCAAAACTTCCCCAACCCACCAAGGAGTGCAAAAATTAGAGATCACAGACTTTTTATGGTACTGAATTTATCCTGCCAGTTGCAGCTGGAAAGCAACTGTCAGCCCAAATTCAGGCTCAGACAGAGTTGTATTCTACTGTACTCTGGAAGGTCCAGCTGGAGTAACTTGATAGGATGCTTTTGATTGATATCCTGAGTGTGACATAGAAGAGTTAGCTGTGGTGAGACCTGTACCACAAAGATTTCTCAGTTTAGTGCAAGAGCATCTCAGATCATAATCTGTGAAAAGGCAGGAGCTGTTGTAGCTGCACAGGCAACGTAAAGTTGCACACTCTGCTGACCAAGCAGCCCTTGGCAACACGCAGACTGCCAGAATCCCAGCTGTGTACTTATGCCTGCTGAAAGCAGAGTGATGGGCCACTTACTCTTGTGTCTCCCTGAACCAGGAAATTTTGAGAAGAAAAATTCCCTCAGTATTTTTGGACACAAGCAAAATCCGCAGAGGCCTATGAATCCAGTCACCTGTTGCTCAGATACCCTAAGTCACTCTCAAACTTGCTATCCTCTTACTCACTGGTGTTCTTGTGTGTCTTTGGACTGCAGGACTCTGACTCTCCAAGACACTCTACAGCATCAAACAGCTCCAACCTCAGCAGTCCTCCCAGCCCCATCTCTCCTCACAAGACCAAGAGTCTCTCCCTGGAGAGCTCTGACCACGTGAGTTGGGACTCATGAACTGCTTCAGCATTCAGATTTGACATCACATCAGCTTGCTGTCCCCATGGCTGTCCCCTTCACTTGCTCCAGTTCTCACCTTCATCATCCTAACCCTCCACATTCCCTGTCTGAAAGTGATCTGGGAGTGGGGTACAGAGGAAGGTAAAAGCTGGTCGTCTTCAGCACCGTGCGGCACTGCCTCACCCTCCCTTCCCCAGATTTGACAGCAGCAAATGAGCAAAGCTAGGGTGTTGGTAAATATCAGATGCTGTAGATTTGTATTAGTATTGGTTTCATTTTTGTGGTTACAGCTGCTTCATTTTTAAAGACATATTTATCCCACTCCCACTTCCCAAAAGGTAGCGTAAGTAGACCAGACCAGTATCAATAAGAGAAAATTCAGAGGGATTTTGTTTTCATACAATAGCTCATTGTACTGTACAAAAGTAGCACAGAGACCCCTTCCCCTGCATGGGGAATGATCAGTATGTCAGAGGCACATAAAAGCTTTCAGCCACCACGTTTGAATGTCAATCTGATTGTCGCCAGCAAATCCTTATTGATTAAAATGATGCATATTTTACTACAGTACAGAGTTTAAATAAATACGCAGATGTTAGAGTAAAATACGTATGTATATATTCAAAGAAAAAAAAGCATTGTGTATGCAGCAGAAGATGGATGCTTATTTAAGAGAGCCTTTAATTTAAGATTTGTGTTGTCCCTGTTTTCATGCTCAGTAATATACAGACTCAGAGGCCTGGACTAAAACCTTCCGCAGGACAGAATTTCTGTTTGCACAGCGCTCGCTGCACTGCCGGGAGAGGCCCCTGCAGTGCTTTCACAACATTTCTTTATTTCTGGCCATAGCCTAACTGAAGCTGTAATTCCTACTCTCGTGTTAGTCCCCATCCTTTGCAAAAATGACAACAATTGGAAGCAACCCCCTGCCCCGACAGCCAAGGGCCCCAGTCAGCCCGGCAGCTGCCCTGGTTTCATGCGTTGTTCTAGCTGTGCAGCCAGAGCCTGGCAGCATGCTACAGGAGAGGTCCTTCAGGCAGCAAGGAAGTTCAGTGCAGCAGGATTCAGCAGGAAAACTGTTTCCCTGGGTCAGCCTTTGAGCAGGTTTAACTCGGAAGAGAGCAATCTTCCACATCTCCTTGACCATCCTTAAACAGAAAACTGTTGCTTTTGTTACCAAATACTAAACACTAATACACATCAGCCAAACGAGTGCCCTTAGCCCAAAGCTGGTCCTGGCTGGCTTTGCTGTCACTGTAGCAACAAAGAACCTTGAAGACTGACCTCACACTGTTCACACTGTGGTAGTCGGAGATGCCTAGTGACCCAAAACTGCCACACTGGCAAGGTTGGTTTTCCTCTCCCTCCCTACTTGTGCTGTGGGTTTGTGCAATTTGCCGTTGTTTCTATGTGCTCACCTGCTCTTTGGTTCCAAAAGCAGGGCAGGTTGGAGGGCAGAAAGTATTGCTGTGGAAGACAGAGCCCTCTGAAGTTGCAAAAATAAATAAAAAGCTGAAGCTGGTCACGCAGTCAACAGAATAAAATGAAAAACTGATGTACAAATGGATGGTAAGAGGAAGATGTCTCTTCTCTTTAGTTAGCAGGACTGACACGTTCTTCATTTGGGAGTGTGTTCAAATGAGCCTCTCTTCTCAGTAGTATTTGTTGCCGACTTTATACTATGACCATACTCGAACACGCAAGGGCTTTTTGTATGTAGAATACTGGTTTTTGTGGGTTTCGGAAACTTGTTATTGCTCTTATTAAGCCATTCCATATTCTTGCAGTCAGCAGTTATGTAGTGTTCTGCCCACGTAGAGATGTTTGGAGTTTTCCAGTTTCTGTTTTCCCTAATAGAACTTATAGGTAAGTTCAAACCATGTACAGTAATTTCCAGGTATGATCTAAGTGTGATATAGGGAACAAGACACAGATCATCTAATCCATTTAATCATGCTGGGTCTCCTAGTTAAGATTTCTCTTCCACTCTGAATCAAGAGGTTTGTCCAAGTTTAAGCTCATTCAATGTTACTTTGGGACAGGAATTCAAGAAATTGTTGTAGAAACCATCATATCAAAAGCCTGTCTCTCTCCTTTTTGGGTATTTCAGAGTAGCAAGCTGGTTGTGTTGTTTGTTTTCACTTCAAAGCTACTACTTTTGCAAGCCTGGCATTTGAAATTAAAAGCTTTAGCAAACAGCTAAGCACTTGAAAGTAATTCCTCCCAGAAAGTTTATGTATTTCTGAGGGACAGATAGGCAGGGTGTTATTGGCATTATTAAAATTCCACATCAGCTTCTTTTTAAAGGCTGCATATTGCTTCAAGTATAGCCACTGCTTTTTCCCCACAATTCCCTTGTTTTGGTGAAGCATGTCCACACTTTCCAAAGCCTTTGCAGACTAGTTTGTATTTACTTACTGTATGTTGTATTTAAACGATAATCTTATTTTGATGTTGAGAGAAGGCATTTAAACAGCAGTCACTGAAGACAGAGCAGCCTGCGTGACAGTCCCCTGAGAGAGGGTCACAGGATCTTTTTTTGTGGATTTTTTTTTTTGCAGTTGTGCTAAAGCTCTATCTGAAAATGGAACCCAAAGAGCCACGACACAGCAAACAATTAAATCAAGTAAACCCCAGTGTTTACTCCATTACAGTGCCTGCAGTCTATTGATATCAAAAACCTGACATTTTCAGGCAGAGTGTAGGTCAGCTGTGTTACAACACTAAGCTCCAGAGGATGAGAGCTCCACAGGCCTACGCTGTTTGTACACTACAATTTCTAAGCCTTGGCAGTCTCCTTTAGGATTACTGTATTTAATGATTACTTTGGTACTGTACATTTTTATACACATCTGTCCAAAAGAGAAACAGCAACTGTTCTCTCAGTTGAAAAGCAAATGACCACATCACTTACTAGAAAAGAGTAAAATTGTCCTAGGACTTACATAGTTTTATACATTTGGGGACCATTTGATTGCAGACTCAATTCTAAACCACACTCATCTTCTTTTCGTTGGTATGCATACTGCAGCTGAGCTTTTTTTTAAATACTCATTGGGCTAGGAAAAGTAACTTGGTCATTTGAACTGTAGGACTCTTGACTGGTATCTCCGAGACAGTTGTCTCCTGAGGTTTGATGTTTGCTCCTTTGCACTGTAGCACTGCTTCAACTTCACGGTTTGAGGGCTGCGTTTTGTTCAGGGAGCTTAAAATCTCCCACTGCTACAAGACTGTAGCTCTTGTTCTCTGTACACAGTATGTATCTAGATGATTTTTTTTCCTTCTGGCTGAGACTGAAGGTGTTTGTTTGCATTTTTGACAGTGCTTAAAGAGATGGGTGGTTGGGTTTTCGCATTTTTTTTTCCTCTTTTGATGGCAACGAGGATCTGAACCCAGATTCAGGCAGCTACTAAGGATTCCAGGTTATAGAATGAAAGAAGTTTGGTAAATAGTTTTCCCCTGCACGTATGCACACACAGATATGTGGCTTCCTTCCACATTTCATAAACCCAAAAGCAGGGTTATAGTACTCTCTTCTCTCTTGCCTTTGGCCTGTAGAAGACAACTGGTGGTTTGAAAAAAACATTCCTGAGGCTGTGGTGAAGTAGTTGCTTCTTTTCCCCTCCAGTAGTTGCTGTGGCTTGTTACGAATGTACATTTTGCCCATTTAAATGAGTTTCAAAACTGAGTCAGGAATGTTCTCTCTTTGATTTGATTCTGATAAAATTACAAACCAGGTGTGTTATTCTCAGGTATATGGCAGAGGGAAATTAAGGGTCTTGTCATACCAGAAAACTCCAAAAATCATAGTTTATTTATAGAAATGAAGTTTAATGGGTTCATAGCATGTGTCAGCCTTTCAAAACAGTTGAATTATTAACACAGAAACAGATTCTGGCACCTTGTTGTCTTGCATGGCCAGACCCTGAATGACAGGACAAACATGCTCTTGGGTGGAAAAAGGGTTTCTTTTCCATTTTATGAATACTGTTTAATTTTAAATGAATGCATTAAGGGTAAAATTTATTACAGTGCAAGTATCCACAGCTCCTGAGCCTCTTAGTCTGAGAATCAAAGTGGCACAGGGTAACTCCTGCTGTGGGTTCTTTTGTTAATACGAGTCAGTTCCATGGAGGGACTGGGACAACTTCCTGCACTAACACAAAATGCACTCTTCTGTGCACTTTGTGTTCACTCTTTATTTGATAAACACCCCTAGAAACCGCTCTGCTGCAGGCTTTCCTATCTGAATTCCAACTCTACTCTCTCATTCCAGCCGCAGCTCAGTAAAACCTGTTTTGATTCTGCATTTTAAAAAGTCTCATCCACAGGGAAGAAATCCACAAACAAGCCAGTGTTGGTATTTCAGAGCAATTATACCTGCCTTTTTATGTATGACAGTTTCATATCATTTATTTTTAAAATACGTTTTTTAGGTTTTTCATTGTAATATTATTGTACAGTTTTGCATGGCATAGATGTAATCACTTTTTTGTTTTAGAGTATAAAAGCTGACAAGTGTGCGTGTGGGGGAAAGATTCTGCTTTTTGCCTCTTCTCACTCTTTTGTTTAATGCCCTCAATGTTGTAGGGGACATTGTAAGAGATTCTCTGCTACAGAACAATGATGTAGATTCTTTTGCACAGAAATATTTAAGGTGGAAAAGTCAACAATGTAAAAATGACTTACCACCAATATTTTATGTTGGTAACACACTTAATATTAACCTACTTTGATGTACTGCAATAAAACAGGGAACTGTTAGAAATGCAGATGTTTTGTCTTTTTTTCCTACCTCCCCCCGTTGAGCTTTGAGGAGGAAATGGAAAGGGGAATAATGGTGTTCTTGAAGATAAAACCAGCGTGTTGTAACACTTCTGCACAAGTGCACAGTGGGAAGAAAAGGAATACGTGAGAAAATAGATTTACGTTTAACAGTTTTCAGACAAAGTAACCAGATCCTTTTGTAAAATACAAAAGTGAAGTCACCTTATACTTTGCTATACTGAACTTGATCAACTATAGTTTTCTCGACCTTTATCTTAGGTCATCTGTGATGACCTAAAAAATAGGTAGTTTTATAATTGTAGTCAGTGTTTCTGATGTTCCTCCTTCATTTGTAGTTACACATCAAATGGTTCAGCCATCCTAGTGTTAGAGGCTGTATTCTTTCTTAGTTCTGAGCTACCAACATCAAATTGACTTTCATACATTTTTAAGTACCTGTCAAGTTCTGTATGTGCCCTGACCCTTTCACATCATTCACCCCTTCCTCAACCTGGAATTTTCTCCGCATCAGCAATGGTTACTACATATTCCTCTTCATTCATTACCCTGTTGGTATAATGTTGGAAACAGCCTCATTGTGCCAGGGGAGGTTTACATATTAGGAAAAATTTCTTCGCAGAAAGGCTTGTGAAGTATTGGAACAGGCTGCCCAGGGAAGTAAGTGGTAGAGTCACCATCCCTGAAGTGTTCAAAAAATGTGCGAATGTGGCACTTGAGGACATGGTTTAGTGGTGAACGTGGTGGTGCTACATTGATGGTAGGACTTGATGATCTTAGAAGTCTTTTCCAACCTTAATGACTCTGTGGTAAGTCCTACCTTTGATCACATGCTCAGTCACACCTCCCTGCAACAGAAATACAGGACTGTGCTGTTACTGATCCCTGCCAGCCTCGCAGCCTGGGCATTCTCCTATCACCAAAGACTACCAGCAATCGCCTCCAGGAACAGTCACCACAATTCCCACTTCTTCCATGGCCACAGGCTACCCTACTCCTGTCCCTCTGCTCAGCCCCTCATTCAAGCTTATGTGGATCTAAGCCCATTTAGTCCCCTGCAGGTCTCTCCTGGCTGCTGTAGCTCTGGGAAATACCGTGTTCCCTGTGCTGTGACTTTTCACAGAGTGCATTAGTTCTGAGTTCCCAGGGGTCCAGTTGCACCATCACAGCTATGAAGGTCTTGGGAAATGGGCTTTCTATTGTAAGGGGTTTGGGCATTAGAAAAAGCAGGAAGTGAACTGCATGTTCAGCTCCTGTCCAGCTCCTCAGCATTCATTTTCCATTTTGATGCAGCAGCTAACTTGACTAAAGAAAGAAGGTAGGAAAATCACTGCTACCACATATAGCCTGAATCTTGATTCTTTAGAATGGAAAAACATTGTCCTCAGAGAAGCAGCGTTAACCTCCAGCTTGCCCTATGGAATAAAGAACTGTTTTCATGAGAGGATTTTTCTAGAACAGAAGCTTGCTACAGCAGAGAAAAGTCCACATCCTCAACCTACATGTGTGGTTCAAGCAAATGCACTGGCTGGCATAGAGCAAGCAGTGATCAAGTGTTCTTGCTCACTGTAAAATGTCATGGCTTCTTTGACTTGAAGCCAGAGCACAGTGCTTCTAGCTCACGTTTTCTGCACGGCTGTTACACTGACACACAATTCCTCATGTCACAAATCTCTCTGGACAAAGCCATAGCCATTATTTATGCTTTTAGAGTGTACACAAAAGGCCAGGAGCATTAGGGACAGAGAGCTCTAATTAGCTCTCCTAATAAAGCAACATCTTAGCTTCTGCTAGTTGCTGCCCTTTCAGCAAATGCAAAACAACTACACTGTTCAGCGTGACGTTATTCCTAAACACCGTTTGTCTCTCAGGAAGGGAAATGTTTGCCAAGAGTTGAACGCTGTTGCCCCAGCATGGTATACAGAAGAGCTATGCTCACATGAACAAGTGCATACCAGTCTCACCTAGTAGTGCTTACTGGAAAAGTGACCTGTAATGCTTGAGTTATTTTGCCTTCTTTGCAAGTTCTCTGGACATACTGACCCTGCATCTTCAGTTTCAGAATTTGCTTTTTAAAAAACTGATAAGGGAATTAGATTAGGTGAGCTTCAGAGCAAAGTATAAACTTTAACATAAGCATTTAACATCTCAAACAGTTCCACTGTCTTTACAGCTGCAAGGTCTAGATGCAAAGGAGGAAAACCAAACCACGTCTATCAGACCTCAAAACAAGGAAAGTTACTCAAACAGTGTACACTTATAAACAGCTTGATGCAAAACTATTACTTCAGTGAACAGCAGAGTTAATCTTCTCAAAAGGTTAGGAATAACCTGACTAGTACTTTGAATTAAAGAGCACTGGATCTTGCTCAACCAAGTCTTAAATGAAGTGGTTCATATGTTTATGATCTTGAAATAAAGGTAATACAATAACTTGTTTTCCTATTTCTCAGAGGTCCCTCCTAAGAGAGACCATTTATTCACTTCCCTGCTCTTTACCTCTGGGTGCATGAGCTGTCAGAATTTCTTATGTATTGAGGTTTAAGATCATACAACCTCTGCATTCCTGGGCTGTGTTAACGGAGTAGGATCAGCTGAGCCTGCTGCTATGTACCTGGCACTTGGCAGATGAGGATACCTGCCTTCCTAGCACGAGGTAAGCCTCAACTCCACCAGCCTCTCCTTCACAAGCGGAGGAAAGGCGAAGAGACCTGTGTTCAGGACACTGAGGGATTAGAACAAAAGAAAATAAGAAAACAAGTAAATTACCAGGGATTTTCATGGGCAGATGTGTTCAGACTGATGTTTTCTGACTCTTGGTAAACTTGTCACTATCACAGCACTAGTGACACAGCTGCAATGGAAAGATGAAGGCATAAACAGGCCACAGGTTTAGCCTTGCCAAGGCTAGTTCCAAGCCTTTGAGCAAACAACTGCAACAAGGAGGCTTGGGAGCTGCTTCATTTGCTCAGCTCCTGTTTATCCCACAGAACAGGACGTGGTTCACCTGGCTATTCATTACCACACCAGAAGAAGAAAGAACCGCAGGCAGGAGGCCACCGCACAAGCACTTGTTTATTGACATCAGTAAGTCGTACAGGTACAGGCTTTGTACAAAAATCTAAGGAAGTAAATTTCCTAGCTTGACTCCAATAGTTTAAAACTGTGCGTCTGGTTTAACTGTGTGACATTTCAGCTAAAGCTGGAACCGCTCATGAGAGACGAGATGTTCGTCTGCCTTGCCATAAGTTCTGTGTTACAGGGAAGCAGAGACAGACGAGGTTCTTGGTTAGGAGTCCAGCAAGCAGTTGGTGTCAGCTGTAGCTTATCTAACTTACCCTCAGGGAAAGCTGATACCTACCAGACAGTGAAGAATCCCACTAACTGTGCTCAGATATAGCTCTGTTGGATACATGTTTGACTCCCAGAACTGAGACGGGTTGTGAGAGTGTGTACGTGTGTGTGTTTAAAAGAGACTGGCACTCAATTCTTGGATTTTTAAAATATTTCCTATGTTTAGCCTGCAAGCCAAAAAGAGGCAGAAAGCATAAAACTTCATCCTACTTACACACACACCCCTTGCATTAAATCAATGTCAGTAAAATCCAGGAGGGTTCTTAGACTGCCACCACTTGATTTACAAAAATGGGGGGGAGGTGCTGGATGTGTCTGTGGTAGGGAACACCTTAGTATTTCAATCTATAATTCACAGTATGAAATCTACTTGAATTCCACCTCAGCTTGAAAGAGGGAAGTTTTTTAAAAAACAATTTGTGGAGAATTACAAATAGGTTTCAATATCAAATTCTGCTCTTGTCCTCCTTCCCCTGCTTGTTATAAAACCCAATCAATATGCAGCCACCATCACAACATTAAAAATGCATTCAAGGTAGTCAGCTGGTGCCTTGAAACAGCACAGAAGCACTCAAAGAGTTTCCTGCAAGCTGCGGGCTGTACTGGCAGTCAGTGTAGGACAGACACAGCATGAAAGAACAGCTTTGTCCTCGTGAAACGCACACTTGGCTTCCAGGGCACAGGCTGCTGCATCTCAAGAGGATGGAGAGCTGGGGTGCAACACTTGGGAGGCTACAACGCTCTCTGCAAGGCTCAGCTGCGCCGGGCCCTCAGAACAGGCCGCGTTAGTTCATTCCTACTACTCCTCTGGCTTCTTGCCCCTACTGCTCCAATATTTGCTATATGCCTCTTGGAACATGTTTTTGCAGGGAATTTTGGCCTTCAGTTTGGTGCAGATCAGGAAAGAGCCCCCCATCTTCCGATGAAGAGAGTAGGTCTCCTCTGGTGGGGGGACAAGCCGATGCTTCAGCATGACTGGGATTAAACCGTGGATCTTTTCAGTGGTGCTTTGGTTGCCGAAATCAAAAGGTTCATCAGATGCAAAAGCCTCTCCCAGGATGAGGACAGCATTTAAGTGGGCATCTTCCATTTCCTGCCCAAAAGGAAAGAGGCATAAATAACATCATTAACCACGAGGGAGGAAAAGAAATGGTAATGCTAGCAGCAGCAGCTCAGAGAGATAACTAGCCATGCCCACGACAAAGGTAACTTCCAGCCCCCAGTTTGGAGCAGTTAAACCTTCCAGGAGACCATCCACTCAGCCATGAAATTTCTGGGGTTGTCATCACCTGCAGAGTCTTGCTGGGGAAGAAAAGGAAGGACAGTGGGTCTGGGGCTAGCTGTATCCTCATTACTCTTCTTGCTCCCAAAAGGAAGTGAGACCAAAAGCCAAATCATTTTTATACTCTTTCATCTTATCAGTGGGGCTTTTGGACTGACACTGGCTTTTACCATATCAAGAAATCTGGGGAAGCTCACAGACCCACAACAACCTTATCTGTGGCCAACGCTAAAATCAGATCCTTCTGCTCCATACCTTGATTTCATAGCCAGTGAGGAATTTCATTTCAATGGACTTCTTCAGTACTCTCTCTCTGTTCATGTCAGCAGCTGCCTTGATTACCTGAA